AGTCTTGGACGATTCGGCCTTTGTGGGCAGGCGCAGGCGGGCCTTTAATGAGTAAATAACATTTTTGAAAGTCAGAATTTACATAATAAACAAAAAGTAGAAAAGATAGTCAACCAAAAAGCGCATATCAGCAAAGGGCGAGAAACGGAGGTTGGTTCGGGTAATTTTTGGGCATGTAGGCAGGCTTAAAGTCTTGAATGTAGAGTAATGAACCATTATTAATTGCTGCATTCAGGAAATTGGAAACCGGAAATTTGTCGGATCTTTCAGTGCGCGAGGATTAGTGATGAAATTCTTGTGCTAACGCTAAAATTTGGACGATGTTTAATTTGAAGACTCATGAAAAACTTTCGTTTGATACTTTCTTCTTCACTTTTTTTCTTTTCTTTTTTAATATCTTTTTAAGCCTTCATTGGCTACTTGAATCATTTAGCAAAAGGTACAAATCCCGTAATTGAATAACGTGCAAAACAAATGAAGTTGAAGTTTTTTTTATTTTTCTTTGTGGAATGAATTTATTCGGGAACTGTTAGTCACGTTTTTGACCAACTTTTTTGCATCGATCTAAAATTGATAAGAACATTATTCTTCATGTTGGTAAAATTGGAAAACTTTATCATTTCTAATTAATTAATCTAAGATGTTAGATTAATTCACAGACGGTGTAATTCTAAACTCCTCGGAGATTTCTCTACAAAGAAAAATACAAATTTCAACGCAATTAGTCGCTTCCAAGAATCGAACGAAACTTTTCTGAATCTTATTCTTTACTTGAAATCAAACTCGTGATGGATAGCTGTGCTGAGCTTTCAAAATATTCAACTAATGGTTTTTTAAGGATAATGCTTGCAAGCCAAGTATTCTTTTCGTTTTTGGCTTTGGTGGGGATTTTCGGGACGTCTAAACGGATCTTTACATCAATCGTTTTGGATACAGCATTCAAAGAGCATTTATTCTGCTGTTATCTCATTCATTTCACTCAAGCGTTTTCAATGTTTTTGTCACAAGTCAGTCTTGATTTTGTTGAAAAAAAATGCAAACCTTACTGATTTGTTCTTAACTTATTGGCTTTACTAATTGGATCTTAAACTATCTGATTTCATTAATCGTTTGAACCAAATGACTAATCTTGTTTTACTTTTGAAGTCAGCAAGATAAGTTTTGAAGTTTTTGAAGGTTTTGAAGTCTTTTGAAGTCAAAAAGAATTTCCTTTTGAGATGAGAACTGACTAGACTTGTCCTAAAGATTCTAAAGATACTAAAAATTCTACTAATCCTACTAAAGATATGAATGCTCGGTTATCCGATTGCGCAAAAGTTGTTAATTGTTGTAAAAATAGGACTAAGATTGATAAAACTGATCAAAATTGACCATGATTATTTGAATAGCCTTTCCAGGGCCTCCTTCTCTTTCAATATTTGGCAAAATCACCTTGTGAAGCAACAATTTCCTCCACTTTATGTATCATTCTCCGTTTTACATGCACATTCTCCATATTCTCCTTACCAACTCTCAACTTGGCTTTAATGATCTTCCGAATTGGCTCATACTTTTGGGATCGATATTTAAGAGAAAACGAGAACAAAATTCGACAAATATTCATGCTTTTAGCGGTTAGTTTACAAAAGAAATCATTAAAAAAAATCTGTTTCAGTTAATTTTGATCTCTGTTGAATATTATTGGAAATATTATGGATTCACCATTGTTGAAGCTCAAGTTTCATATTGCATCGTGAACAACAAGGCTTTGGTGGAAAAATCGAATCTCGAAGCCTTAGTCAGCCTCATTTTTGAAGTAATTACAATTATTATGGCAATCTTATTGATGATTTTATATCATAAAGAAAACAAGTGAGTGAGCCAAGCGTTTTATGATAACTGTGTAGTATTTTGTGCAAGGAGTTAGCATCTAAATTGAAAAATGTAAAATAAACACCACGAATTGATTCCACGACCCCGAAAACCCCTGGCAACAAATTTTTGGCTTTAAATCTCGTTTGGGCGTCATTTTTAGACCAAAAGAATCCTTGTGTAAAGTGATTGGGAAGTGTTCTTTGTGCGCCGCACAATTGCTCGCCATCTGGCCAAAGGCCTCCCCATATAACGCGGGAAAGTCGTTTCTATCTTTCGGTTTCTTTGGCATCGCTATGCCCAAATTTTTGGGATCAATTTTTGCCCTAAAATTGACTCAATTTTTCTAGAAATTCTGTAAACAATTGTGTTAGTTAAACAGCAACCAAACTGAGAGAAATAAACGGTATCGATAAGAAGAAAAAGATTCAAGATAAACCCCGATAAACCCAAAGCCAAAGAAGATATAATCCGATATAATTCCAGGTTCAAAAAGTCATGGGATATCTCGGAAACTCTCGCTCGACGACAACTGATCCAGACAATTCGATTGTTTCTTCCATATAGGTAGTTGTAGTATAAATTTTTAACAAAAATTCTTTCAGTATCCTTCATGGAATCTCATTTTCAACATTTCCCCTAATCGGTGGAGCGTATCGAACAATATTTGTCAATATTTTAGATGAAGTTTCGTATGCAGCCGGATCTGGGTTCACTTTTGTAAGTGCTGTAATAATTTATGACTAAACAAACGATGATTTTAGTCTATTTAATTAGAAAAACTTTTGGTACAGAAGAAGAACAAATATGAATAAATTTGAGTTTTCGATTTTTGACAAATCCCCGAAGTTCAAGTTCAATTCCTACTCTTTTGCAGATTCCGATGTATTTTGTGGTTGTTGCCCCGTGGTTAATATATTGGATCGTTTTAAAACAAGAAAAGGGACGAATCAAAAGCACAAGACATCTAATTAACTTGGAGATGCAAGCGAAAAATGTATACTTTGAGAGTTATCATAACCAATGGGAAGTTGGGGCAAAGAAAGCGGAAAGGTGAGTATTTTCTAGCAACTTTGGCTAAAAGCTAAATTCGCCATTCAATAAACAATACTTTTATTACGATAATCAATACTTCAAACCCTAAATCATCCACTAACAATGATCACGAATAGAAAGATTTAGAAAGAAACGCTTTGGCTTCTTGAAACGACTTCGTCTCAGAAAGCTTGTCTTTTTTGTTTGAATCAAAAGAATGAATAAAGCTATGTGCATAATGCATTCCTTTATACCAAATAATCACTTCTTTAAAAGACAAAACATTCTTTAAACGTTTCTCCATTCATTGTCGACTCATAACTCATCACAACTCCATCCGGTGTTTGCTGAGGGCAATCGTGCCCAACAATTGTTGTATATCTTTAATTTCAGCAGCAAATTTTTACACTCAAGCTTGTACAAGTCTATATTCTGATGAACAATTCAAATTTTAAATCTATAAGTTAAGTTGTATCGATTTTACCGTGAAACTCTCCTCTCCCTCACAAGCTCTCAAACATTTATCGTACCTCAAGTCATAAGATCCTGGTTGAGTCATAAGTCATAAGATCCTGGTTGAAACTAAAAGTTTATAAATTTTGAAATTCTATTCTTTTTTTATTTGTTTGTTTGTCATTATTTGGTCCATAAAATAAGTCACTGGGATAGATCTAAAATCAAATTGATACTCAAATCTGATAGAGAAATGGCCATTTGTAACTTTTTTCCATGCAAACTTCCATAAAGCTTGATTCAAGTGCGTGGATAAAAATGACAAAAACTTGATTGGTTCTTGTGGATTTTATCTACGCAAATTTACGTATCTGAAATGTAAACTGTGCAATTTAAGATATGTAAATGTAGTAAAAGATAGCCAAATTTGCGTTTGAATTTTCTTGCGTCAAAAAAGTACCGAAAATAGCGAGAATTTTAGGTCATTCGTCTTTCAAAGTGCTTACCGTAAAAACTCTATTAAAACCACCCCCATAATGACGGGCGTACAGTCGCGTAGTCTAACTGTTCTCCGCGCTGTTCTCCGCGCTGCTTTATGCTACAGTGTGCGCTTGGGGCTCAAATGAAAGCCCTTGAAATCTACAAGGTACGTCAAAAATTCTGCAACACAGTAAAAGCTCGTTAATAACGAAAAAACTCTTGCAAGGGGTACTTAAAAGATAACAATAATTTGTTTAGAAGATAAAAACAAAGTTTAACAATCGTTTTCGAAATATTCGCCTTTGGCTTTGATTTTTGGCCAAGACCGGAGACTTTCTCAAAATAACACAATGATAAAACCGAGTACATGCTCAACTTTTCTAAACGATGACACTCAAGTCAAACCTTCCTTGAAATGGGTGCGGGATAAATTTTCTAATTTACAATCTTATTTTTAAAGTTTTAAGAGTAAACAATTTATTTTCACATTGATGACGAGCAAAACGCAAGCATAACAACTTTTATGGTGGTTCATTTTAGGAGTTGTTTCAAAAAGTCAAGTTCTGATTAATTCTTTATTATTTGGTAATTTTAGTCACATAAAAGGCTCAGCAGTGTGCATTCTGAGCAAAAAATGAAATTTTTGGCTTATATTCTTCTTTCAGCAATCTCGCTTTTTATGCAGTTTGTGCTTTTTGCGCTTTTTGTGCGTTTGATTCACCTGTATTTCATTAGATAAAATTTCTTGTATTTCTGAGCCAATGTAACTTTGAGACAAAAATAGCATCAAAAGATCAAGTTTTAGATTAATTGTCTTTGTTTTGTGTCGAGTTAATCACTAAACTCGATAAATTTATTCAAGTAGACGATTTCAAAAGATTTTCAATTGAAACATTATATTTACGAATAATTGTTAACGTAAATGTAAAATTTCTGAAAAGGTAGCGAATTTGCAAAAGCAAACAAGTCGGCAAACATTTAAAAACAACTGAATTCAAGTGAAGTACAGCCTGAGCAGATCAAGTAACAAAAAAGGTAAATAGAGCCACCAATCGCCCCTGGGTTCAAATTGTTAGAAAGTCGAATATTTTGATAAACATGGTAGACACTTCATGCAGAAGTTGCTGCCAAAGAGGCATCCGTGCGATATTTTCTTACACTGGTTACTACATTGCTTACTATCCAAACCATCCACGGGCTTTTGGTGGTTGTGGTGGAGGTGAAGGTGGAGGTGGAGGTGGTGAGGGTTTCGTCTCTTCCTTCACCTTGGCTCTTTTCATTTTTGCTTCCACTTCTCGATCAATCTAGCAGTTGTTTAGTTTTAGTGCAAATCTAAACATTATCCCTTACCCTTTCTTGTTTTCGTTTTTCTTCATCTGCAGCTAATCGCATCTTTTCGATCTCGAGGTTGGCGAGGCTTTGCTGAAATCAAACATTCTTATAATTATTCGAAAACAACAAAGAATTTGTCGAGCATAAAATCAAATGACAAACGTTCTTTTGAACAGCTAGCCTTGCCTCCTCCAACCGAATTTCCCGCTCAGCAGCAGCTTGACTTCGACTAAAAAATGATAATAAAACACAACACAAATCTCATTTCTTATCCTTTATTTATAAAAAACAAACCGTTCAGTAGCTTCTTGCATCTGTTGCAGAACCATCCACATCGGATTATTTCTCAAGTCGTTCATTTTCCCTTCAAGTTCTCGTTTCTTTACTTCATTGTCTAAATTTTTTTTGAACAACAATTTTCTTCAAAGTTTACCTAATTTCTCTTTTAACTCGTTGACATATTTCCTTTCCTGATTGCAACTTTCTTGAAGAGCTTTGACTTGTTGGCTATGTTTCTGATGATGATTGGCGAGTTTTTGCTTGATCTTTTCAATCTGGATGTGTTTTCTGACATTGCTCATGAATGTGTCTTCACATTTCTAAATAACATAAACTTTATTGTACTTTGAACAAATTCTAGGAAAAATATCATTTTTCTATTCTTTATTTTTTGTATCCCAAAAGTTACAAACCTTGAACAAATCGACACTTTTCTCATTGTAATTGTCGATGATGTTGTTGATCAGTTCAATGTCCAATTTAGGCATTTGTTCCTTTATTTGGATAGCAAATTTTGCCTGTAACAGTAATCAAATTCTAGCATGTCAAATTTCTTTGTTTAATTTCTCTAAACCTACTTTCTCAACATTGTAGTTCGCCTCAAGCAATGCTTTGATTTCCACAATCTTCTCCTCTGCTTGATCCATTTTGTGCACTTGCACCACCGACTAAAATCTTGAAATTTTGAAAGCAATCTTTTTCTATTACACCTTTCTCAACTCTGTCTCGTAAAATTCAAGCAATTCGGCAATTTTCTTGGACAGATCCGAGTTTATCTGCGAGACGAAACTTTCTTCCTCCAGGTTGGCGAAACAACTCTGTAAACAAGACCTCAATCCGTGCTTTTGATTATTTTGCACGTCATGCCAAATTTGCATTTAAAAAGCAAAAGGTAGGATGAACAGAGCAATAGCGAATCGATGATAGAATGAAATATGATTGCGAAAGGTGAACCGCGTCAAGACTTGTTAGAGAGATAAACACTTTGGATAAGAAACGAATAAAAATACGACTTCGCGCGTGCGTGGCGTACAAACTAGTCAAAAGTACCCGTCAATATTTTGTTTATGTCAAAAAATTTCAGGAATTATAAGTGTTTAGATTTATTGAAGCCATTCATTTTCACATCACTAACCTGGATCATTCTGTCTAGTAGAGCCCTCTTGTCATTGACGAGACTCTCTTCATCATTAAAAGGTTCCACCGCTAAATTTGTTAGGTTAACCCACACCTCCTCAATAGTACAATGATCAAAAAAAGTATTGGCACCTTCTCAAAAATTTCACATATCGATTAAAAACTTTTCTCCTATCCATTTTCAATCGGATTTAAATTGCTAGATCTATGGTTAAACATGGTTGAAAACGAATATAGTCCATTTTAAAGGCAAGCTCACGCAAAATAAGCAAAAGTCGGACCTCAAACTTTCAATCATGTCTTCGATCTTTTAAATCTCCGCCAAAGGATTACTCCCAAAAGGTATTAAGTGCCAAATTACTTCTAGTTTTCGAAAAACAAAGCCATTTCACCTGGCTGACTAATCTAAAAAAATTTTGGCCATGAAACGCCCTGTTTTCCAGTATAAATGGGTATTTCAGAGCTCAAAAACTAAAAGAGCTATCGACAAACTGTTTTCAGTTTCAAATTCAGCATCATTAAATCATTAAAAGACAGTTAAAACTTTCTTGGTAGGAAACAAATCCTACGGTGAGAAAACACAAAGGTGTCAATACTTATTCTGGCCAATTTTTGCACATATTCTGTACTTTTGAATCTTTCTCCTTGAATAAAACGTTCAATATAAAAGTTTTTCTATTTATAACAAGTTTAGTTCTTGTATTAGGTTGATGCAAAAGTCTTTTTCATTTTTTTCGTCTGCCGTTTCAAGCCAACAAATGCACCAATTAAACTACGGTTGATTTCATTAGAAAAACCAATTATTTTTCTGCAAAATAACATTAAAACGGGTTTAAAAATATTTTATGCCTGGATTTTCTTGAGAGTATGAAGTCGGGTAGTCAAAAAGGGCTAACTCGATGATGCGGTTTAGACACCTTAGCTAAAGAAAACCTATCTTCGTGTCAATAGATAAAAGATAGAGAAAAAAAACGTTTGATATTTCGCCAAAATTTCAGAGAAATTCATTGAGCCAATTTTTCCGTAGAGTTTTTTATAGATTTTTACGAAAAAGGCGTTTTTCACTCTCGAATTTGCTTGAAAGTGAACCGAAATTGATTTAAAAAGATGGAAATTGAACAAAAAAACACTTTTTTTATAGAGCAAACTATAGATTAATTGGTGAATTTGTTACTTTTTAACAGAAGTACGAAAAAAATGAAAAAGACTTTTGCATCAACCTAATAGTATCTCAAAATTTAAACCGATTGAAAATTTATGGATAGGAGAAAAGTTTTTGATCAATATGTGAAATTTTTGAGAAGGGTCAATACTTTTTTTGGCCATTGTATATATGATTCCTGGTTCTATTTCATATTTACTGTACCCGTCTCAAAATTGTCCATGGCTTGTCTATGAGCTTTCTCATGTTTCTCCCTCAACCGCTCCACAGTTTGATTGCCTTGCAACAAGTCTTTGAAGTTTGGCTAAAATTATAGGCTAAAATTGTAGGCAAGTTAGTGTCTTATACATTCAAAAGCAGTTTTAACTTTTGTAAGAATAACTTCAAATCTTCACCCACCCGCATCATTCCCTCGTACGTATCATAGCTGCCATCTACAGCTTCACTCATTTGTCGATCCCGAAAGCGGTCTCGATTCGACTTCGATCTTTCAGCACACCGATCCTAAATGTTATCACTACAATTGTAGCATATCTAGAGATCCGATTTTGAATTCCCTCTCAATGAACTAACTTACCTCCAAATATCTTTTGAACTCAGCAAATACTCGTTCCTTTTCTTCCTGACTCCCAAAAAGCGTTTTGCTGTTGTACACCTGAAAACGGTTACAAAATGTTACGTCAAATGCAATCACATTAATCGATGATGTCACAAGTTCTTTCAGTTGATCATCAAATTTTTGTGGCACAACCGAGCGAGAATCGTTCTTTTTAACCAACTAAATAGAAAGAGTCTTGGAAAACGACTGATCAAAAACCTCGTCATAATCAGAATTAAACTGTTCAATCCCAGCAGTTCGTGCCCTTTCAAAGTATAATTCTTTTGTCGCCTAAAATTTGTTTCTATACAAATTTCTGGAAATCTTACGCTAAATGCCGTGCCGATTCCTTTGAGATCAGCGTTTTTCAAGTGTGCAACGAGATTCTGAAAGGGGTTTTCGTTAAAACCTTCGCATTCAAAGTCATGGTAATTTTGTTTTTACCAACCTTGACATATTCTTGAAGGGTGAGCCCGGTGAGTCGAACGCCCATCACTAATTTTGGCTCCAGATTCTGCAAGATGTCATTTGCGCAGTCGCATAGCCCGGACAAAAACTCTTCTCCACAATCTGCAACAATAATATGTTGAGATTTTATAATTTCTTCATGCCTCCAGCTTTGATCTCTCCACTAGCGTTGATCACGTGTTCAGCTGGCCTTTTGACCATAAAGCATTGAACTTTCTCAAAGCTTGTGAACAGCCCTTGCACAAGGCGGTTCACGTCATGGGCATTCATTGATGCATTCTTAATACGCTTTGGTTTTACCACTAAATGTTACTTACCCGAATATGAGACAAATATTCATTTCCTTGCTCGAAACCAGAGCAATTCGCGTCACGAACCATTAGAAGGAAATTCTATTTTGAATGGAATTTTAAAATCAAAAAGTTTTCACCCACTTGTCCGATCGCTTTATCATTCATTCTCGAATACTCAATGAAGAGATTAAGCGCGTCCAAATCTTGCGCGTCAATCTGGCTCCTGGTGTTGAAAATCTAAATAGTAATGATATTTTCCATCTACTTATAGTTAGGTAAACCTTGATCGAAGACATCAGCAATGAGATGACGAAGATGATCGCCGAGTGAGCTGGATTTGTTTGACAATCATATGTGCCTTGGGTATCCATAAGGATTACAGCTATCTAAAGCCATGCAGTTTTTGAAAAGATATCAAATAAAGGATTTATGCTCACATCTTCGCCATTCTTGTCCTTGTGAACGAAGACTTTCGGCCAAACCATAATCCCAGCGGTGTGCCGACTCCATCCACCCTTGAAACGAATCCCATCTTGACCACTGAAAATGCTTTTTAGCTGTATAACACGCTTGAAATTTCATTGGATAGCTTATTTAATTCAAATCTGTATTCACCCAATGTACTCTGTTGTTGTAAAAATGGCAACTCCATTCTGTAAACCCTTCAACACGATGTTGTTCCAAAATGTCTTCCCGCCACGGAATTTCCCCGTCGTCGAGATGATTGCAATCTGTAGACAAAAAGATTAAATATATTTTACGCCCTCTTTGAATGAGGATTCATCTGAAACTAACAGGCAATGATCCCGCTTGTTCGCATAGACTTTCCAGCAGCGCTCGATTGAAATGAGTTTGTCCTTCCTCGTCGATGTCAAAAAGTTGCTCCAAATCAATCTCGATAGCATTAGTCTGAATCAGATGAAGTTGAAGTTACATTTCTAGATAATCAAATAAATTTATTAACTTACTAACCTGAGCCTTTACGGGTTAAGTAAGCTAATAAATCTGTACCTGTTCTTCGATCGAAGCTGCAGCGCTTGTAGCCTCTTCGAACTTGGAGGGTGTAGGTGATACTTCAGCCTGAAAACGTGCACTGAATTTTAAAGTTAAATGTGTAAATACTAGCAAACTTTGGTACTTTATAGTATCGTGGAGGGCTGTGTTTCAATTCTCAAGAGTTACTCTTTTAGAGGCATTCAAGGAGAGGTCTGAATTCAGGACTGATTCTCGTTAAAACCAAATTCTCAGCAGGTGGTTCTAGTTATATAATTTTTGATGAATTTTCATGTAGAAACGATTAAAGTTAATTGGTTTATCAATAATTTGTTGGGTATTAAATGATGAAATCAGCTTTCAGGTCGTTCAGTGCCGCATAACGGCACCAAAAGCGCAAAACACCCAGTCGCTCTCCGCTCCTTCCCCTTTGAGGATTGGAAAAGGGAAAGGCCTATAGATTACGCTTTCGGGGCTTTCGGGGTCGGGGAATCAAGTGGAGCCATTCTTTTTAATGAGTCTATCAATTTGAACGTTTAATCGATCCGAATTTGTATCCCTCCTTTAAGAAGGAGGGAGTCTCTGGTGCAAATGACTTCTATGCCTATGCTTCATAGATTTATTCCCAATATTATTGGGTTGGTGGGTATGAAATATCCAGGTGGAAGATTATCAATAGCCACAGCAAACATTGACAAAATTTCGAAATAACAGAAAGTTAGGAAGCCCGGTTTCATTGTTTTTGAAAAAGTGTTCTTAACTTTCTCAGTTTCACGCAACAGCACCCACCTCCGTTTTGCTTACGAGTTTAGGGATCAATCGGAAAAATAGCGAGATTTCATACCCACCGACCCAATATTTGAGTTTCATTTACAAATACTTACCAGCTTTTGTGAGTATTCGGCGCCTGTGTCATTGAAAGGCTGAACAAATGGTTTTTCGACTAATTCCACACTCGACTCTTCAGCGATTTCCTCAGAGAACTAAAGCCCTTTGAATTGAAAGCAAAGAGCCAAAATTAGAACTTACCTTGTCTTTCAAAAGATACTCAACTTTATCCGAGGCTCCTTTAACGTCTTCCCGCTTTCCCATTTGCTCAAAAAAAGTCTAAATCGTTTCAGTTATAGCTTTTCTTGAACCACTTACATCATCGGCTGCTTTTTTCACCAGAGCTCTCATTTCATGGGGTTGATCACGAAAACCATCGATCTTCTGTGAATTTTATTAGCTTATTTTTGGAATAACTGCTACCGTTGTAGTTTCCAAATATCCTTGAACCAAAATATCAACCGAATCCTCACCTTGGTTCAACTCATCCTAAATGACAATTTGAAAACGCACTATAAAGATGATTTATTTATTACTAAACTACAGTACCTCTGCTTCATTGTAAAGAGTCTCAATGTCGCTACTTGTTGAACTTTCTGCGCGGCGTCGGGACATTCTAAATCAAGCAAATTCAAAGGTAAGTCTGACAGTAAATCAGTGCTGTAACTTCAAAAATATTTGCTGGAATGTAAAGGGAATAATCAGCTGGCTTGCCTTCTTCGGTTATAATAATTTTAGGGTTCTTTAAATCATCAAGATAAGGCGTTTTCTGACATAAGGAAAATGTGAAATGGTGCAATTTTTAAATGTATTTATGGACTATCAGGTGATTCCATAGAGTTGTTTTTATGAAAAAATGGCTCACTGATGAATAGAGAGCAAAGTGTAAAAACTTAGCAAAGCAAACGTAATAACTAAAGTCAGCAAGTTGTTTTTGCAATTTCTTTCCAGTACACCTTTACACATGCCGGCTTTTCTCTAATAGTAGTTCCCTAAGCTCTCCCTAAGCTTCGCCTAAATTGCTCGAAATCTCGAAAACCGCTTATCAGAACCTATCGGTGTGGGGTCGGAAAATGTAGCTGACGACAAGCTCTTGTGGTTAGAGTGTTTAGCTTCTACGAAAACTTGAAAAACGTAAAATAGTCATCAACTTGGCTTGCCGCGGTGCATTACTTTTAGAGAAAATATGGTATTTCCAGCGTTACCCCTTTCCTTTTATGAGCCTTTAAAATTGCACAATAAAATGCAGCCGCCGCTGTATCTTTTTCGAGAAATCAATAAGTGATTTTCACTCTGAAATTAGTGCCATTTTTCCATTTATGATTTTAGAAAAATTGGTTCTGATTGTTCACAAGACATTGATGATTCTAACTAATTCAGATTGATTCTTTTATTAGAAACCAAAAGAACCTACACGAAAACAAAAAAATTGAAACAGGTTTTCGTTAAAAATACATTAACTTTGTTTTTAGCTTTAGTAAAAATAAACCTTTATAATAAATTTAACGAAAGCAATTTTTTATGGGTGATAAAGTTAAGATTTTCGTAAAGACAAGGCTTTCGTATCTCCGCTCATACCGTAAATACTGTAATAGTACCCCACCCCGCTCGTACAGTCGCGTAGTCGCAAAAGTTTTTTAGCATTTCATTTTTTTTCAAAGCGCCAGTACTTTCAAAAAATGCGTCTTTGGTATCAAAAAATAGCTGAAATTCAGGGCTATTTTTTGATACCTAAGCGAGCATTGTAGCATAAACCAGTGTCGAGAAAAACTCGTTCAAAGCTAGACTACTCAACGCTCCGCACCGTCATTTTGGGGGTGGGGTACTATTACAGTATTTACGGTAGGCAGCCAGTTCTACATAGAATTAGACTTTTAGGTTTTTCAAATTTTAAGACCTATCCAAAAACTCTCGGTCCCTTAAACTCACCGTTTCTTTTATTTCAAGCGCTCTTTGCACTCACTGAATTTTCTTGCATCCTAAAATTTTTGTTTACGTCGAAAGAGAGCGAAGATAATTTCTTGCTGAGAAAAATGGCTTTTGCACATTTCGTGGATTTAAAGCCACTGCTCAGGTGTTTACCCCAAAATGACGTTTGATAAGAAAGCTGAAAATGATATTAAAAGATGTTAAGGAAGCCATAGTAAACAAAAAAACAAGTGGCCAAGATGAGTCACATAAAGTTTTTGGTGATTTTAGTGTTTTAACCGTTATTGATTACCTCAATTCCTGTGCCGACTATTCGACACCAAATTTACGTTTAGGAATCAACAAGATTGTCTTTAATCAACCTTTTTGTCAATTTTCTTTGTAAAGTATTTAGCCCGTTAACTGAATATCCTTAACCTTCTTTGCTCTATTTAAGTGTTGCTGCCAGAATTTCATGTCTTTCTTTCATTCATTACAAGAAATAACCCGTCCTAATCGTCCGTTCTAGGCTCATATTTCTTTTATTTATAAAACAAAACGATTAATTTCTTTTTTAAATGAAAGTTAACATCATTTTGTGTATATATTCAAGATTTCATGATCAATAGATATCAATCTATTGATCAATCAATAGATAATTTTTATGAAGGCTCAAAAATGGCTGATCAAAAAAATCACGAACCGCAATTCAACCCCACAAATAACCACAAAAAATAATTTTTTTTTGGAGTTTTTTTTTGAAAAGCCAAGTCTTTGTTATGTTTAAGTAGATTCAGTTCAAAAAAATATTAAATGCTTTAATATTTTCTATAAGATCATCGTTAAAAGAACCCTTAAATTTGAATTGCGGCTCGTTATTTTTTGATTAGACATTTTTGAGCGTTTATAAAAAATTATCTATTGATGCTATGGCCATAAAATCTTTAATATATACAGAAAATGATGTTAATTTTCATTTAAAAATAAATTAATCGTTTTGGTCTACAAATAACAGAAATATGAGCCTAGAAAAAAAGGACGGAGGGTCATTTCTGGTCCCCTGTATATTTATCACATTTGTACTTTTATGGTTTGGCTTCCAGTTCTAATAAACTTTCTTTCTTGTTGTTGATTTATCTAAAGCTTGTTAAAAATTTTTGATATCTGAAATCCTGTCTATTGATAAGTGCAAAAGTTTTAGTTGAATAATATAGTTTAGAATCATTTTATCCAAAACACAAGCAGATGGAGGCTTTGGTCACTTTTGAGGATGATTCAATGGTTTTTCACGAAGACGTGGCCAGAAAGACAATTCTCAATGAAAAGTTTTCAAACTTCAAAGTAAGTTTTAGAAATGGTAAAAAGATGATGCCCAACAATGTTTAGAAAAGTATTGTCAGCATCATGGGGCCCTCACGAATGGGAAAAAGCTTCTTTTTGTTGTACTTGAACAAAGAGGCGGAGAGTGAAGAAATCAGGTTAGAGTTTCAGCATTTAAATTTACCTTTTGAACTTTGAACAGGATTATTACTATGTTGCATTGTTAAATAACTAGTAGTTGGTGATTGGCTTTATGTAAATTCAGTTCTAGAGGCGCCTTTCAATCAGGCCATTCTCGATGCACAGCGGGGATCCTGATATCCACACAACCGTATCAGCTGGCAAATGATGTACTGTTTGCATATATTTGACTAGATCAAATCTATCTTAAACTTTAATTCTCTTCCAAACATTTTATTTTAGCAATTGATTTTCTTTTTGGATACACAGGGCACTTTTGATTTGGAAACTGACCGAAAGGTCTCTGTTTGGATCGCAAGTTTTAGTCTACACTTCTCTGATATTCAAGTAAGTAAATTCGATAATTAACATGAACTTTCCTATTTAGATTGTCAATTTAAGAGGCAACATTGGTGGTAATGATCTTCAAGATTTATATACTTTTGTTCAGTTCGCAATGACATATCCTGGGGCGAGATTACCGAAAGTGAGTGAAATGGAATTGAGGTTTAAGCATTTTTTTAAAATATTCTATCTCAGCAACTCATCTTCCTTATTCGTGACGCTCCACAAATTGATCAAGACAATATTTTCTTGGAAAACTTACAGGTTTACTAAGTGATTCTTTTGTTCCAGCAACCGATTTAGATGCAATGTTCAAATTCCGTGGAATTAAAAGAAATTATGGATTTTTTGCGAAAAAAGTTTGAAATCAGCGTCTTTTGTTTGCCAACAGTTTCCGAAAATATTCGAAAAGCTTCGGGATTTGTTGTCATGGAAGATTCGGGTAAGAAAATTGTCTCATAGTCAGCTATTCAAGTTTTAGTTGATTCTGCTTTCTATCAAAAAATGAATGTGGTTAAAGAAAGCATTGGAAGCGTCTGTAAAAATAATTACAACAAACTTCCTGAAGACTTGATTGATTTTGGTCATGTGAGTTGTATCTTGGATATGAAATGGAATGACGTATTGTTAGAAAATCTGCGCTCATATCACTACTGTGGCCCCACAACTTGGCTCAACGGTTGAGGTTGATTCAAAACGCATACTTCATAAACTCTTGCTGATACTATTATCAATATTTTAGATAATCAAGCAAGTTTCAAAAGCAAAAGCCGTCAACAAATCTTTTGATTTCTTTTTGAATCTAATCAAGGTGAGATTTCAAGCGGTTATTCATGGCCAGAATGGTACCAAAGTTGAGTGATAAAAGGATCTCCGTAAAGAAGGAAATTAAGAGAAATCAATAGCAGATCAACTTACCATTTAGGCAATTCCATAAAATTTTTAGACACTGAAAGCCGAGAACTTCGCAGATCGCGAGATCAAGATTGAAAACGAAACCATCAATCACCTTCTCTCGTTTAATTTAAAACCAGAAGATCTAGAGGAAGCAAAAGCTACATTGATGCAGAGAATGAACGTAACTGTTATAGCTTACATTAATTGGAGTCTTTTTAATTCTAGGAAAAGCTTGAAGAACTGAAAGCTCAATGGATGAGAGATTTGGATGAGAAAGAGGAAAAAGAGGCAATTTCTGACTTTCTGCGGAAGGAAAGAACGAGGATCAATAAAGTCTTTAGAAAAATGGATAATTAAACAAAAATTTTAGATTCATGAAATCAAAGAACTGTTGGAAAATTGCAGCATCGAATCTGCAGTAAAAGAATTCTCAAAAACGCTTTCGAAAGAGCTGACACGTGAGGCGAAACAGGAGTTGAGTCAGAAAGTTACGGTAAGTCTCATCGCTTGAAATGAACTGGATCGATTACTCAAACTCAAGAATTTGTTTCATTCAGAACATGGTAATGGATCGATTGTCCTACTTAAAAGCATCTAACTTGCCAAAAATCTTGGATGACTATCGAGTAATTCATGGAGACAAATTGGAGGTGAGCTGGCACTGAATTTAAGCATTTTATAAAGATTGAGGTGGTTACAGTTTCCATTTTAGAACCACTTTATCCGATTTGATAAAGTCCCAGATTCTCACGTTCTGGAAGGAATAAAACTTGAAACGGAGGATGAATTGAAGGCTGAATTGAGATCACTTCAGTTTAAAATAGACGAAGAAGCGATTATTCTACAAAGATTTGAAGAAAAGTTGCAGGTTTAAGGACAAGCTGGATTAACAAATAAACAAATACTTAACTTTAGACATCGACTAGCACTTTTCTTCAGCATAAGCAAACGATCTTGGATCAGAGAAACAACTTTGAAAAGCTGAAGAGACAACAAGTTGAAGTGTTTGATAACGTGAGTTTAGAATGTCTAGACAGAAAAATCCAGATTTTAGGGTGGTGAAGAATCTCGGGCATTTGATGCAGCTGAACGGTCTCCTTCGAATGTGTCTTTGTATTCTGATATGGAATCGACACCGAATGCTTCACCGCCTGAATTCAGTGATCGGAGACACACTCAAGACAAATCAAATAGGATCTTAATACAAACTTATTCAAATTCTCCGTCAAATTCACGCAAACCTGTGACTTCTAACAACGTGAATTCCTGGGTGGACTACGGAACCATTACCGAGCCAATTAAGAGCCACTCTACACGTCCAAACCCAAGAAAACCAACGTCTACTCAAGATTCGGATCAAGAGACAAAGCAATTAGAAAATACGGATTCAAAATCGATGATTGAAAAAGAATTGGTTCACCAAGAAGCAGTTTTCAGAGAATTTCTAGCGGTAAGTCAATTTGCACGATACATGCTTACTTTAACGCTGTCAAACAATACCTTATCTGAGAACAATATTTTAGCAGAGTTCCTGCTTTGACCGGGCCATATTAATGAAAGAGAAATCACGATCACGCTTGGTTTTTGCCGAATACCTCCAGTCACAAGAGCCTGTGAATGAGCAGCGAGAGTTCTACTCTAAAAGTTTAGCTGCAAAGATTGAGGCATTGATTGCTCAACATTTGGCCAGGTTTGTTAGATGAACGATTAGAGTTAAAATTGACAATAGAAATACTTCAACGTCTCCTGTTCCATCAAACCAACAAGAAACTCAGCCAAAGGTGAGGTAATGAATTTATTTGATCGAAAAAGTTTTATTTGTGATTTTCAGAAAGTCAAGCATCAGGAAGAGGATTCGGGGGTGAGTATAAAGTGTTGTATTAAACTTTCTCTCTCAAATCTCGCCTTTTATCAAATCTTGCCAATTTATTTGATCGAAAAAATTTTATTGTGATTTTCAGAAAGCGAAGGATCTGGAAGAGGATACGGCGGTGAGTATAAAGTGTTGTATTAAACTTTCTCTCTCAAACCTCGCCTTAAACGAAGAGTCTGGATTAGAGCCGATTAAACCCGAGTTTCAGTTGCTAGATTCAATCAAATGAATAGCTCCAATCATTTCCCCGACCCCGAAAGCCCCGGGTACAAATTTACAGCTGAATATCTTCTTTTTTTGCTATTTACAAAGCCAAAGAAAAATGCATGTGTAAATGATCGGCGAGGTGTTCTTTATGTGACCGGCTAATCGCTCGCGATCTGGTAAACCGCTCTGGTGTAGGTGCTTCCCCTTTCCGGTCATAATAAAAGATTTTTATTCAAATTTGTTTGTTTTTCGGCAAATTTTACATCTTGCTGAACTCCCATCCCCCAAACTGACCATACTGATTCTGTTGAAAGTTTTAAACCCACTAATTGAGTAAAGTAGTTTTTCCAAAGTTTATAAATAATTCAGATTTTTACTTGGATGCTTCTGCTGTCGATGATCCCCGAGAAAATCACAAGGTGGTTGAATTCGATTAATAATCCCTTAACAAGCATTTTCTTTTCTTTTATTTGTGCCTTAATTAATCGAGTTATATCTTTGTCTTTCCCTGTCATTTTCCTCGTATCGAATTTGGGATTTCGGTTCTGCTTTTTGTTGTTTGGAAAACTCATGAAATAGTAATAAAATTTATTTCATAAGTTAGATAGCCAGATAGAATGCGATCCAAATATATCTCGAAAGAGCGATACAATTAACCTAAAAATGGTATTTATTTTGTTTCTTTTTTCAATTCACTTGTAAATCTTAAACAAATTCCCGCCAATTTGACTAATCCATCGAATAATGGTAGTGGTCTAAAACAACTTTCTTTAAAACTATTTTTCTCAAATTGATTATAAATAAGTTACTCTTTCTGGACTGGAGACATTGCCGTTTTCAACGACTACCATATCATCGGATCTGAATGAGAATTGAAATTGATGCCCATTTTCCCCCCCGTTTTACCTCGTTTCAGTAACAGAAAGATCACCGGCAAGCAGATTCAGGTCCTTCCTCAAACTCTCTCTTTTAATAGCAATCAATTCTGAATCAAATCCTTCAACTTCACAATATATTTCAAGTTCTTGCAGAAACCCTTCAATGGATTCTTGTAAAATCATAGCTTTGTTTTGAAAACCCGCCAATCCCTGTAATAAGCTGAGACTTGAAAGATGCTGAACGACTCACCTGTTCAAATAAATGAAAAACAATGATCTTGTTGTTGATATATTCATCGATCAAAGTCTCTTCACTAATTGACTTCTCGAGGTCAAGATCAGCCTCCATTTCGAGATTCCGTAAGCACCTCGGCGATTCATAGTTTGTCTCAACATCCGATCTTCGTTCGCTCATTCTCAATTCATGATTCAATTGATCTTGTGACTGAATCAATTTAAGGAATTCAGCTTCAAATGCCCAAGATTCTTCACCACCCTAAAATCTGGATTTTTCTCTGTCTAGACATTCTAAACAACTTGTTGTCTCTTCAGATTTTCAAAGTTGTTCCTCTGATCCAAGATCGTTTGCTTATGCTCAAGAAAAGTGCTAGTCGATGTCTAAAATTAAGTATTTGTTTATTTGTTAATGCAGCTTGTCCTTAAACCTGCAAGTTTTCTTCAAATCTTTGTAGAACAATCGTTTTTTTTTTGTCTTCGTTCGCTTGTTTTTTACTCTGAAACGAATGATGATTCAATTTAGGGATTTCAGTTTGAGTTTGGGTTTCTAAATCTTCACGAGTGTCTTTTGTGATAAAGGGTTGGGTTTTGTTATTTACCTCTTCGTGTTCTTCGAATTCCCACGATTGTGCGTCATCAATGTCCCTATCCTCCGGGTCTACTTCGTCAACGATTTCCAAGGAAAAGGGCTCGGTCGCTTGTTTTTTACTCTGAAACGAATGATGAGTCAATTTGGGCAATTAAACTGACGTATAAACTTAATTTGTATGGGTTGAGTTCTAAATGGCCACTTATTACCTGAATCTCTTTGCAACTAACCGAAATGTCGAGCTGTTTTGTAAGTGTATTCAAAAGCTCCGTTGCCACTCTCCTCTCACTGTGAAGACGTAAAGCCAAAAATGAACATTTCTAAAAAAAACTAGTAAGTTTACTCAACCCAACCAACTTTGAATTCCTCCTTTGCAAACAGTATCAACTCATCTGTCTTTTCTTCATCAACTCCCGTTCTCTTGAGTTCATCAGAAAACAGCACAAGACTCAAGCGGATCTCTTCCAGACAAATTTCTTCAACGTTTCTGTAACAAGTTTCAGTCTAAAACATTTTTCCATGCAAATTTCCAAAAGGTTGTTACGGCAAGAATTTTCTCTCGTAGTTTTTTCACAAGTTCGTCAAGGTACTTTTTCAAATGTCCTTCTCGTGAGAAGAGAAATTGATACTCCAAGCGCTCCTAAATTTTACTTGATTCTTATTATTTACTGAACTCAATTTTGAACCTCTAGTCTGGTTTTGATCGACAAAAAATCACTGTCAGTAAATCGATGGAGGGTTTTCACGAATTCGACAACAATGAGCTCCATTTGATTCTCTCTTTTCAACTTCAACAACGATTCGAAATCAAGCTAAATCTTGAGTTTAGTTGAAATATTGTAAAAGATTTTAAATCGCAAATCTCTCTTCTATTTCTTACCTTTCCAATTTTTGAGAGTTCAGAGGACTGAAATTTCTCAATGTTCAGTTGATCGCCTTTTTGTGCCGCTTCCTCTTTCAGCTCCAACTCTTTGACAGTGAACAGTTTCTAAACATTTGAAATTGATTAATTTACTATGCAAATTTTACCGTAATCTTAGAGCTAAGCAGTTTCTCAGCTTCAGCAAAATCTTTAGGATGAACGAGTTCTTTCAGAGCTTTAAAAGCTTCTCCTCTTCTCTCTTCGTAAATTTGCAGATAGTTCTCTTGTTTAGCTTTCTAAATGTAAGATTTTCACGTTTTGGCTTTAAGCTTACCAAAAATAGCCCTTCAAAAACAGAAAAAGCTTTATTTGAGGCATAAACTGCTGTGGCTTCTTTGATCAACTAAACTTTTTGGTAGTCTGAAACAGTTAGAAATATTTGCAGACCTGAACAGAGGTCCTATCAAAAAAGTTATGCTTTGTTTGAAGAAACTCACAGACTTTCTAAACTTTGATTTATTATAGAATTGGAAAAATATTACCTTAGCATAACCTGTAGTCTTTCTCATTGGCTGATCGTCCAATGATTTGGATGAAGTGAGCAAACTTTCTTTGACAAGATTCAGTTTTTGAAGCAAAGGTTGATCTGAATGTTATAAATTAAGGAATTGATTTAAAAGTCTAGTCAAATTCTAGGTTTTCTTTAACCCACTCACCTTCTAACTCAATTTGAATTTTCCCATTTGCGCGACGAATTCGATCCGAAGCTGGCGGAGCACAAAAACATTCAATTAAAGAAAACTTGGATCTCAAAGAGGCAGACATTTCTTGTAAATCTTTAGACTGTGATGTTTGCAGCTAAAAGATTTATGAATAAGGTTGCGATTGTTTAACATTAACTCACCCAGAGCTCATCTAAGAAAATCTCATCTTTTGAACTATTTGGAGCATCACGTATCAAGAAGATCAATTGCTAAAAAGAATGCTTATTTTTAATGGGAATCTGCTACTTTGGATAATAATTGCACTCCGTTCATTGAAGAAACCATTTCTGTGAACAAATGGAGATCCTGTAGATTATCTCCTCCAAGGTTACCGCGAAGATTGATTATCTGAAAAGTTCTCCTGATTCTAAAACTGTATTTTTCAAATTGTCGCTTTTAGCTAATGAGTTGAGTGCTTCAATGCTTCAATTTGGATTTGGAGCTACAATGACTCGGGGCTAGGCTCGCGTCGAATCCCAGCAACCCTGTGGGCAATCCCTCCGCAGATCGCATCCGAAAGCTTGCTTATAAGCCAATCACCGCTTGCTTTACAAGCCAAACAATAAAACGGACAAAAAACAATGTTTTAAAGCTTCTCTAGAGTCCTGTCACAAAAATGAATCAAGGATGACGTTTGCTGACAGAAACCGACACATCCTATAAGATATAATGTTGCGACGCTCTATGAGACACAAGAAATTGAAAAACACGGCGAAAGCATGCGAGGAAGTAGAAGGGCCACGAGAAGACCCCCAAAAATTAAATTGAGTAAAGTTAAAGAAAATGCGACAGAATCGAGTGCGAAATAGAATTTAGCCTTTGGCAGTCAAGTGAAAAGAGCCATGTTTTGGCGTTTATTTAATTAATGCTTTGAGATCAGCAGGTCTCACCTGAATATCCGAGACCAGTAGACTGAATCCGGCAATCCAAGCAGAGATTTTCCGTTCAGTTTGCAAATCAAAGGTGCCCTGGGTGTCCAAGTAAAAGACTACATGCTAAAGATCTCTTCTAAGTTGTTGAAGAATTTCAACCCACATCATCCGACAAGTATTCGGGCTGAGATGAAATAAAGATTCCCTCTGTACATCTGTTATAACCACTTTGGAAGAATCCTCTGAAATTTTAGTTTCAAAAATCCTTATGTTTCAACAAAACTCACTCAATTTCCCCATTAATTCCTTTATTCGTCAAAACCGCCATCAAAAAGCTTTTTCCTGAACGTGAGGGACCCATAACACTGATGATTGTGATCTGAATAATCATCAACGGGGGTGGGACAAATGCGACCTTTTTTTTGCGCACCTGGACATTTGCGCACCGTTTTTGGCTGGAAAAGGCCTTAGGCAAGGCCGTAGAGCTTCGAAAATATTTCGAAAATTTTTCCATATAAGGGAATCATATGCGTAGATTCCGAATTTCGAAAAATCAGACCTCGCTGACACGTCAAATTTGGGCTAAAAGGCAAAAACTGCGGAAAAGCGTTAAGTTGCGTAGTTTTTGCCTTTTAACCCAAATTTGACGTGTCAGCGAGGTCTGATTTGTCGAAATTCGGAATCTACGCGTACGATTCCCTTATATGGAAAAATTTTCGAAATATTTTCGAAGCTCTACGGCCTTTCCTAAGGCCTTTTCCAGCAAAAAAAGGTGCGCAAATGTCCAGGTGCGCAAAAAAAAGGTCGCATTTGTCCCACCCCATCATCAACTTTTGATTTTTCGGCTAACTCTTCGTTTATTTACTTGGTTTACAAAGTTTTAGTTTACTAAAAAATCAATTTCATTAAAAACTTGCTCACAAATAGCATCCTTACCTTTTTCCCCAAGAATTTCTCATTTGCAAACGTCTTCTCGGCCACATAATGATTAAAGTAGATCGAATCATTTTCAAATGAGACCAAAGGTTCCATTTGGTTAATTAAAGCGGAATAACTAGACTTGGAAGTGAAATGTTCAAAAAGCTTGATCAGTTGATTGGTGGTGAAAGGGGAATCAATGGGGAAAATTCTTTCGCAACAAAAATTTCATGCAAGAAAATAATTGCTGGCATTTTGTGAAGATAAAAGTAAAAGATAAAATACTTTACGACACTAACACTTTGCAAATCTGTTCAAAACAAGTTTTTGCACATAAAATTTGATTCAAAAAGCTTTAGGTGTTGATTTTATCTCGGGAAAGGAACTTTGAAGTTGCTCATGTCATTTCCCTGAAATTAAATGATTTTGATTCATTTTTATATGAAGGGCCCAATCTAAAGTAATTGAGTGCACTAGCAAGTGTGTGTTTACATCACTAACATATCAAAAACCAGTCAACGATATCAACAAACCCTCTTAACCCGATGTTCTGTTCATCTCCCGGAAAGTGCTTGGGCGGGCCTGCAGCGCTCAGGAAAAACATCAGCATGGCAAACAGAGAGACTTTCAGAGAAATGTGATACATTCTTATTTTAATATTTGTTTTTGAATGGCTCCTTATTATAAGGTGCATTGCAAAATGATAGGACCACCCCTAAATTTCACATTTTTTTTTGGCTATGAAATTTAATAACGCGAAATAGCTTTTAAATCCTAGAAATATATACAAAGATAGGCATATATACCATTTTTAACGTTATTTGAACAAATTGCAACGAAATTATAACAATTTCTTTATTTAAATTCAATTTCTGCAATTTAACAATTTAACAAAATAATTTCTGCAAAATGATACGACCACATAAAAAAATAACAATAAATTTGAGAATAAACAAAAGAAAAACGAATGAAAAGTTCATTAATAATCAATAGATGCTCCCTTTTTCTCGATGACGTCGAGTAGTCGACTTTTCATCGAGTTCACTAAGTTTCGAAGCGTTTGTGGTGGAATTGACGTCCAAGCTTGCGAAATTGCTTTTTTTGAGTTGCGAAATCGTGTCGTAAGTCTTTCCATTAGCATAAATATTCCTCACGAGGATACCCCATAAGTTTTCCATTGGGTTTAAGTAAGGTGAGCAGGCATCGAGAAAAGCGACTTTGTGACGTTCCAGAAAAGCTTTAGTGGATTGGCTGACATGAATTGAAGCATTATCCTGTTGAAAAATATAGTGTTTCCCGCGATTTTGTGCTAGGAAAGGAAGTAGTTGATCCGCAAGGATGCCCTGGTAATCGTTCGAGTTCATGCGACAAGTCACAAATTCTAAATCAAGAACGTCATCCACATTGAAAGCGCCCCATATCATCAGTGATTCTCCTCTGAAGTTTCGACGTCCACAAAGCATTGTATCTTTTCTCAAATCATGCCAATAGCACTTGTTGCCGTCGGGACCATCCAAATTAAATTTTTTCTTATCGCTGAAGATGACCTACAAAGAAAAAACAGTTGACAACTCAAGGCAAAAAGTTTACTTTTTTCCAATCAATGGTGATGTGATCCCGAGCCCAAGGCATCCTTATTTTCCTTGTGTGCCGGCTTCAGTTTTGGTGCTTTCTTCATGACTGCTCTTTTGATGTAACGGATGTAACACTTGATGGCTCGAAAAAGAGTGCTTTTGTGGACGGGAGCTCCAATTTTTGCCTTGACGTCCTGTAGCGACATCACCAAATTCGACAACAGACGTCCCATATGCCGTTCAGCGCGGACCGTGAGCTTTCGATGACGTCCCGAAGACTTTTTCTTGCCATGCTTAAAAGGATCCTTCAAGAAATTTGAGAAAACTTGATGCGAGCGCTTCATTTTTTTGCGATCTTCCGATTCAACAACTTTCTTGCTTTCAAAATCAAAATTTTCATCTGTCCGATCCGCGAAAGCAATTTCCCACGTCCCATCTTCCTAAAAATAAAAATTAGCAAAAAGTAAGCAAAAAAATATGGTTATTACAGGTAGAAAATCAAAAAGAAACGTCCTATCATTTCGAAATAGGTGTAAAATCAAGAAATGCTTAAAAAATTTGGCTTTTTAAGTAAATTATTTGGCAAACGGGGTACTTGTGGAGTATCCGGGGGGATCTTTCAATATCCGGTGGGGTAAAATTTTATATACGTTATACACGACCCCTTTTAAAGATATTTAGCCGTTTAAGTGATTTGGTGGCAAATTCCCTTCAAATGTAAAGATACTCAATTTATTCAGGTTGGTTTTTGAAAGTTTACCCCGGATCTTAAAATTTTACCCCCGGGATATTGAAAGACCCCCCCGGATACTCCACAAGTACCGCAAACGGTATTTGTGCATACTTTTGTATATAAAATTAGAATTTAAGCACCGTTTTGCATTTTTAGTTATTTAAAATCAAAAATCGAGGGTGGTCCTATCACTTTGCAACGCACTTTATAACCTTTTCTCATTCACTATTACGTTTTCCAAGGACTCTTTGCAAAAAACGTTCTAACCTTTTCTTTTCACCCAATTTACCCGTCTAGAGAACTCAAATTGACAGGTTTATTTTAAGAAGACCATAATTTTTGAAAGTTAACGCGTTTACTGTACAAATTTCTGGCGAATTTATCAGGTCTTAGAACTTCTTCGCTTATAAAATTCCGCATATATTAGATTTCCAAGCAAGTCTTTGCACAGGTTTTAACTGAAATTTCCTAAAAAACAAATCCACCAATTTAAGAACACCTTATTCTATTATTTACAAGTCGACTCGAAGAAATAGAAATTTTTGAAAAATAGTTTATCAAAAAAATTTGCGAAGAAGTTATGGCTTGGCTTTTGAGGAACTTTTTCTTTTTCAGAAACACGGTAACGTGCAAACTTATTCTTTCTTTCTAACCTAATACAAATCTCTAGCAAATTTATCAGTTCGTAGAACTTGAAATTACCCTTGTTATTCGCTTGAAAAATTTCCACACATGTCTGTCTACTGGATTGTAAAACAGTAAAATGAAAAATAGTTAGAGCCAAACTTTGAAGCGTAGTAAAGTCAGTAAATCAAAACTTTATTGTCGCCAAATTTCCTCTATTTATTCATTTTTTACTGCTTGGACAGAAATGTTTCTCATCGAAAGAACGAGCCGACCTCATTGCACACGTGAATCCACCCCGACACTCATCCTCGAATGGACACATCTTTTTGTAATTCGCATTTCGATAGTAGTTTCTGAATGAGAATTTGAACCACTTTACACCGAAGACAGAGATAAAACCTCAGTCCCTTACTAGCAGCATCTCAAAAGCCGTTTGAACTTACGTATGGAACTTCTTGAAGAGCTCGAAATCGGTATCAAATCTCTTGGCCAGAGCGCTCCAACTCTCAGGCGATAAGTCAAGCATTTGGTATTCTTTCTGAAATTGGGTGATGGAAAGTAAAAAAAATAAAACTCTTATTTAGCTATGTTATTGATATTTTCCAAACTTTTGCATTGTAGAGAAGTTGCCAATTCGGTTCCTGATTCGCTTGATTGGCCTGGTTCACGTCTCCCCAATAGGTGTCGGACTCAAGCACCGTCTAAATGTTGATCTTCTTAGAATAAGAAAACATGAATGATCAAAGCCTCATCACCAACTTACATAGGTGCTGCCAGAGTAAGCTCCATCAATGGTGTAAATTCGATATGATGGATTCAAGAAATCGTATGTGGTAAGTGAAGGAGCAATGAAGTTGAAATGTGTTGCCCGCTTGGTTGGATCGGCGTTTTCATAGAAAACCTGGTGAATAAAAGAATAGAGTAAGGCATAAGGCTGGTGGGACACTTGTCGGTGTAGCTTATTGGTTCACCAGGTAAGCGAGAGGTCGCGGGTTCGAATCCCGGCGCCGACCATGTTTTGTACTCCCAGCCCAACCCATAAAAGGACCAACTATAGGCCCTTATCAAGTAAGGCTCAAACCTCAAAATGATCGTAGTGAGTATGGCCATAGAATTGAGCTGTGATCGTGTTCTCGAAGCTAAACTAGTTTGATAGAAGCTGAGAGCTTATAATCTGCTAAACTAGACCAAATTCTAAGCTTGAAGTTTACCGATTTACGATTTCATAGTAGTTGGTTGACCATCCTTTGAGACAATAAGTGACTCCAGATGGAACATGAGAGATTATATGCACCTAAGATTTTATTAGTCAGTCATAATGACGATTCACTTTTTACTTTTTCACCCTTGGCTTCGGAATCGAGAAGTTGTTCAACCAACCATTGAAGAGTTCCATCTGGATCAACTTGATTCAAGTAATTGAAACTGAATGCTCAAGAATCTTTGGATAAATTTGAATTAACTCACAAGTTGAAAGTAGAGCAATAGACGCTGTTGATGGAGATCAGTTTTAGGTTTTGCTTGATGTAGGTTGCATAAGAAGCACGACTAAATTTAGCTTTGAATCAAAGCTAAACATAAAGTTAACTATTGGAACTTTTTGCTACAATTGAACCCACTATCGAACATCATTCACAGCTTGTGGAGTGATATCCGGTGCCCATGCATCGGCCAACGCATCGTACAACCATTGTGGACTGTGCGTATCATAGCCATCCATCGTGTGAGCTGGCATTCTAAAGCCAGTTTGAAATTGATGGTCTGGCTTAAAGCTTAAAGTTTAAACTCACGCATCAGATGGGACACCCTCATGATTGCCAATTGCTTGATAGATTGGAGTGTGAGGGAAGAACTCGCGCAAAACTGCTGTGATATTCTCAATGTTGGCTTTTGTTCTGTCTTGGGTGTAGTCCCAGATGTCGTGCGCTTCGAAGTCTCCAGTTACGATGATGTAGTCAAGCTTAAGACAGAGATATCATTATTTAAATGCTGTTATAAGCTTGAGCTCTTGCCGGATCAAAGAGAGTTGTAAAAACTGAAGGTCTTAAAGCTTAATAATCGTGGCCTATCTTCACTAAAAAATTTTATTCGAGAAAATTCATTTTTTCCCTTGTCTATTTGTTAAATTTATTGGTAGAAATGATAAAAATGAATTGGAAAAATGAGCTCAAAATAGAGTTTATTCACATTTCGCGTGGCCAGCTTTCGCTTTCTAGGGCTTTTTTCTGTATTTTATATTTTCTTTTGGGTTTTTGGTGCTTTTATATGTGTCATAAAAGTTTCATTTCAGGTTAAACAATGTCGGATGAGGAGGAATTTATCTCGAAACCCCAAGTATCTTCTGGAAGTATTCGAATAGCTGGAATTATTTCTTCAACATTGTCACCTTTGTTGTTGGGCACTTCGTGGAAAAACTGCCGGAAAAGGAAGAAAAATTCAGTGGACGGAAAACGGCACAAATTTTACCGCCACAACAAGATGCTCGTGCCAAAAGTATGGTCGCATTCGTTGGTCGGGTCAAAAATTTATCGAAGGCACTGACTAGGGAATTTTGTTAGCTTATCGTGGTTTTTGACTCGGGAAATAGCCTATCTGATGCAGTTTTTCACGCTGATTCCAAATCTGCAATCAGTTTTTGCCAAACGCTTCTCTATAGCGAGTCAACGGCCTCGGTGGTGTTGTGGTTAGTGCGCGCATCTGCCGGGCCTTGGTCCTTTTGGACCCCGAGGGTTCGAGTCCACGCGCGCACTAACCACTACACCACTGAGGCCGTTGACTCGCGATAGAAAAGCGTTTGGCAAAAACTGATTGCAGATTTGGAATCAGCGTGAAAAACTGCATCAGATAGGCTATTTCCCGAGTCAAAAAGCCACGATAAGTTAACAAAATTCCCTAGTGAGACTCAGACTGGAAATCTTGCCGTCACGGCTACGGCACAAGTTGCCCCAATTGGACATCCAGATCTAGAGTCGTTTTTCTCTTCTCTAGATATGTCATTTCTTTCGAAGCAACATTGCCTGAAACTCTTCAAGTTTTACGTCTTGTCTAGTGTTGAGGCGAAATATCAACAACAGCAGCAAGAAATTTTAATAGGATTGCCAAAGTCGATCAAGATCGCAATGGACGGTCAATACGATTCGCCGATTCACCGAGATAACTTTTTATCAGTCTTGTCGATTGAGTACTTTTTTAGTTAGCCATATTGTAGTTTATAAGAAATGGTGCTTTTTAAGAATTTTTTATTGCTCACCTTTTCGGTTTGATTGATATGCTTCATCGCGCTCACGTAGGTTTGGAATGGAATGTCACATTTCATTGGTGATCCCCACGGACCGGCTGGTGTTTTAATGGCTAAAATTAGCTTGCTTGAAAATTTTTTCAATCTATTCATTCTGTTTTTGACTTGTTTTCTTTACCTTTCTTCTCCCGATCTCCAGCTGCTGGTGGATAGTTTCTGCAACAAAGAGCATAGGTTCCAAAGGCATCAAGACCCTTCCCATCGGTGCAATCTAAACTTCGAAAGTTACTGTACCCTATAAATTAAAATCTTCGTTCAGTTCTTGATCTAAATTGTTTTTTTCTTTGTCTTTACCTGCTTCCGATCCAACCTCATACCATCGATCGATGTGAATGTCGGATAGATGAAGCACTCTCATTGTTGGTTTACCGTTCTGAAAACTTTTGAAATAACACCTTGCCAAATTATTTACTTGTGGTCTTGGCCATGGTTTCACAGCCGGTTTATTGCCAGGAATTGTCATATTCCAAAGTTCTTGTAATGGGTTGTCCGAGTGACCACAGTCTGTAAGTAAAAGTTCTTTCAATCAAAACGCTATTCTGAATCAACTTCAAACTTTCAGAAGAGTTTTTGCAAAAAATCACCATCAATGAATGCTCCGCAAACTTCTTCAGGAGTAAAGACGGCTCTTTGAAGAACAAACACGATTTCGGGCTGAAGTTGCAATTTTCTAACAAACTACAGTACTGGACAATGAAATATCATATTTGAAAAATGATCGTCACTTTCGCGCGTCTGTAACTCCCTTGTCTTTGAGTTTAAACTATTAGTGTTATACATTTTCTGAAAGCTCTTTTCAATAGAGTGTGCTCCTCGTGAGTAAGTAATTACTCGAGTAAATTTGCATGAGTAATTGTCGAGTAATGCGTTTTCTAAAAAGTTCTTCCTTTCCTTTTTCATTGTTCTGTTTTTCATGACTCTTTTTAGTTAGAAAACTGTTAAATTGAATTGATTTCAAATTTAGTCCATGTCCATCGAAGTGATCCCCGTTTCTTTTGCATTTTGTTATATCCGATGGACGTACAGTACTGGACAATGAAATATGATATTTGAAAAACGATCGTCACTTTCGCGCGTCTGTAACTCCCTTGTCTTTGAGTTTAAACTATTAGTGTTATACATTTTCTGAAAGCTCTTTTCAAGGGCTACACAATGGTAATATTAATATTTAGAAAGATGGTAAAGACAAGGGAGCTACAGACGCGCGAAAGTGACGATCGTTTTTCAAATATGATATTTCATTGTCCAGTAGCGTAGCTCTGCACAACACTAGTAAATATTGAAATTTTGTTTGCTTTTGAAGTAAAAGATATAATTTTGTTCTTCAATTTTGTTCAAAACCTACTCCAAATATCTCCACCATTCCTTTGCAAACATAGGGTTGTTCAATGTTGAGGTTTATGCAGATGTTTCTGAAAATTTCAGTAATTAACTAAAGCTTTGCTTAAGATCATCTTGTGTTTAATTTTCTTTACTACTTACTCAATCACTTGAAAAATCTCCTCATCAGTATTGTTGTTCTTGATCATTGATTGAATTGCGTCCACAACTAACGTGCAAAGTCCACAAGAGGCTGATCGCACTTCAGGATCAGGACTCTTCACAAAGCTCCATAATGTCTTTCCTAACTGAAAATTTCATTCTAAATTATTGATTTTATTAATTTTTAAACTCTTGAGGCAAAAATGAAAGACTTTCCGTTGAAAACATGAATCCCAGCAATCAATTCTTCGACTCCGAGAACCCTTACGAACTTTCACTTTATATCTCATCCATTTTAAGAGCAAAGGAAATCAATGACAGAAAAACTTACGTAATGTCGACTGAACTTTGCATCTTTTGGTATCCGAGAATCATGAACGATCAATCCAGCTATGGCAAGTGATGAGAAAAAGAATACAAAAAGAAGAGATTTCATTTATTTGCCTTAAAAATTTAAACAATGAATAGACTGGGTGCGGATTTTTTTTAGTTGATTTTTGAGGACGTAATTACAAGAGAGATAACAGATTTATTGCAGAAAGTTGGTCCAGAAAAGAGTGTAGGACACACATTTCCGTAACAAGAAGCCTAGCTTATCGTGGAAAGAACAGTTTATTGGGTTTGTAAAAAAGGGGAAGAGATGCAAGGGTAATGACTTGAAATCACTTGAAATCACTACAAAACATAGCCGAATGAGAAATGGAATGGAGTTTGAAGCTGCAGATGAGCTAGAAAAGCTTCCAAACTAGTGCAGTCTATTAACTATTAGTTAGTTGGGGCGAAAATTTTGAAGATATACAGTAATACTATAATTCTACGCAGTCTACTGGTAACTTTGGATAGAAATCTCAGTCATAACAAGTCAAACAAGTCAAACAGACCAAAAACTCAGGTCGATAACGTTGAAATTCGAAGACTGGGACTTTTTCAAGTATTTTGTACTGATTTCATGCTTTTTATAGATTCTTTTGTAGATTTTTATAGATACAAGAGCGTTTTTCGGTCTTTACATTCACTAAAGAGTTCAGAAAATTCGCAAAAAGATCTTGATAAAAGTAATTAATCTGAAGCTAGTGATACCGGTTTTACCAGCTCAATTCTTGAACATTAAATAAACTTTTGTTTTATACCGTGTTCAACTTGTGCCTGCTCCTCCCTATAGTCCTGATTTGAATGTGATCGAGAACCATTGAAGGGGAAACTATTCGGATCAAAAGTGGAGCTTTGGTACTTCATCCGTCGAGTCTGGACAACTATTGGACCCCAAATTCTACGTGATCTGGCTGACAGCATGCCAAGGAGAATTCAAGCAGTAATTGCGGCTCGCGGAGGACCTACTAAGTATTGATTTCATAATGTTTTTCTCACATGTTAAAAGACTTTTGTCCATCAATTTTTGGCTCAATTTTTGTTTTATTAAAAAGTTCATGACACCTGATAAATTGTTAAATCCATCTTTTTGTAATGTAAAATTAGAGATAATAAGCTCTTTAAATCTTTTAACCGTTTGCAAATTGGTCGAATTTGGACCAAGATATACAAAGAACAAACTTCTAAAAACCAACATTAAAAGACTTTTGTCCATGACTGTATCTATATAATCACACAATTTATTTAAAAAGAATTCTCTTTAAAATCACGAAAATACATGGCTCTCACATATTTCATCCTTTGTGAACTTTCCGAACGGATTTTTCCAATTGTCGTTTATGAGCACGACTTTGCCGGCGTTTATTGTAGTTGATTGCAGCAAATGGCGAAGATTCTAAAGAAAAACATTTATCAGCTTTTAGTAAGACTTTGGCTTATTTTTGATGGTAAAACCTACTTTGACAGGAACTTTCTCTGAAACTTTTGCTTTTTGCCTTTTGCCTTTTGCAAGCCTCTCATGCCTTGTAAATATTCTTTTGATTTCTTCAGTGATGCACAAGAATAATGTCTTCATTTTTGATCTCACAAAAGCTAAACAAGACAAGAACTAGATTACAAACGAATCAAACCCAGATAATGAAAGATGAACGTAAAGCCTAACTTTTCTGAACACTCCCAGGTGTTCCTCATCACCACTCCATCTGGCCATCTCGTTTTTGTTTTCATCTTTCTATCCTTATCCTTTCCAACCAAGTGCTCGATTATCCAATGTCTAAGTCACCCCATTTTTATATTTTATTTTGTCTTATTTTTTACAATTAATTTGTACTAATTGTAAGTGTTATAACAAATCTTTCAGAAAGAATGCCCGTGGTTCAACCATGCCTGATTAAGTGTTCAAACGAATTTGTCTCAAGGGTCGTCTACATTGACTACAATGGTTCAAATGACCGCTCGAACATTCGCAAAAGCCTAACTACTGAGATGAAAAAGCTAGATTGGTACCCAAAAGATAAGTTCACTACCTTTATTTTCTTCAAACGAAATGACACCGCTGGTTGGAAACCGGAAGAAGAAGTCGAAAAAGCAATCCATCTCACCCGAGAAGCCCATAAACAAGTCAAGCCTGATTTCCAATTTGCTATTTTGAAGCCTGTTAGTCTTTGCGGAATTGATGATAATGTTCCTGATTTTACTAATCTTTTTGCTAACATACCCATTAATGAGTAAACTTTTGGGCTTTATTGTATTGGCGTTCTAAGATTTGCTTTTGTTATTTGAATCAGTTTTCATATAAATAAAAATTTGTTGAGAAAACAAAAAATACGAATGAATTTAAAAGCAAAATAGCAGCAAAAACAGACAAATCATTTACAAAACAGGTAAATCATTTATAACGATAATAATGAAACTTCTAAAATGCCTAAAAGAAATACATACTTATGTAATTGGGTTAACTTTTTTAAATGCATTTCCTCCACAGCAAGCCTTTTCCTAGCCGGCCTTTTTTCTATGATGTGACTTGTTTACTCGTCCACCTTCCAAAAGCACCGTTATTTTCCATTCTTTTCGAATTCTGGTAGTAGTTTGGTTTTACAAAGTCATAAAGGAGAAAAATGGGAAAAGGGAATTGGTCAACGACGGCTCAAGTTTCGGCCTTCCAATTCACGTTTCTCATTTCGAGAGACGAGATTATTTAAAAGCATCAAGCACTATTAGGTGAGAGATTAAAATAAAGCATTGATTGAATAAAAAGTTCTATGTTCTATGATTGAAATGATACTAAGTAAATGCCATACGGTTGATGATTTCATTTCATTTGGTACTTTACTTAAGTCTCTTGTCGTTTGGTTCAATGCCATCTTGCGAGCCTAATCTTTACTCAACAGTAGGTATTGTTGCGAAATTTGTATTTCAGAGGTTTTGTGAGCATTTTTGCAGAAAGAGATCTAATGATTTTTGGTTGATCTAATGATTTAATGAACGAGCAAATCTGAAAGTGGGGTTCAAATTTGCTCGTTCAATGAAAATCCGAATCGAATCGATCCAAAAATTTGCATATTTCAAAGTAAAGACCAATATTTTTTTATACACAGTCTAAAGCTGTTCTATTTTTTTATTTCCTAATCCGAATCGATGATCTTGAACTTTGTTTTATGTTTCATAACCGCCTTCTTGTTCTCCATTCCACACCTTTCCCCACTCATTCCTCTCTTCCCATGTCGATAGTTCATTCTCGTTCGGGGTTGTAATTTCTTTTCAACGACGCTGCAGCTTTCAAAATGCATAAAGTGAAACCCATATTAACTAGCTTATTATTGGAAATTTTTAAAGTTGGCTTCCTTTTTTGTTTATCTGACAATAAGCGCAAATTCTTACCCAATTAAAATAGCCAAATTTGTCAAACTTCTTTGATTTCATGCTAAGAAATGCCAATTCCCATGTTTTCTTTTCACAAGTGTGGACTAGATCTTGGGTAGTTGCCATTGCGGAATTGCCAATGGCAATGATACTACCCCAATAGCATTCATTGGGGTAACAGGACAACTGTCAAACCAAGCTTAAGATAAAGATCCAATCTTATTCATATTGATCTATTCATTCATAAAGAATCTATTCTTATTTGATAAGAATTCCTATTCCTTATTTGATCCATTTTCTAAATCCCTATCAATGTCTAAACAACCAGGAAAAGACGATCAGCTTAGACAATTGACACCAAATTTTTTGAAGTCTTTCCTAAGTAAAATTGGTCTACAAAAGCCAGAAGAAAGTAAGTTTAATGAAAAAGTTATCAACTAACCTGATTGGTTCGAATAAAAAACAAATTTGACCTATGATTTCTAAAGTTTTAAGCTAAATGCTTAAGCTAAGAGCTAAATGGCACAAGTCTAACCAGATTTTCTTCGGTCTAGATAAACCAATCTTTTATCTATCTTTTACATCAATTCTTTACCATTGATGTTATTCTGGTTCAGTATTGATTTTCTCGTAACGAGTTTTCCCCTCTTTTCACAGCAATCTTTCACAGAGATCATCCATTCCACTTTCACAAAAAAACTAGTAAAAATTGTAAATCCTTTTTGTGCTTTCTTCCTTCTTGCTTGGATTTCGAGAGTTTATCGATTGCTTAACAAAAACTCTCATTTTCGAGCCAATAAACTCTCTCAAGCAAACGAAATTGACAAGTTTTTGACGGAAAACTATTCCTATCTCTCGTTCAAATCTTTATTTTGCTTTTTGTTGCGAAACTATTGATTGCCTAGATCAAATGCTTGATCCTAACTTTTTCAAAATTAACCTTGCAGTTAAATTTTCTCCTTTTTGAATTTAAACAAGCAATAATTTACAGTACCATCAAATTATACCTTTAATTAAATTGTCAACCAAATTTTGTCAACCAAACCAAACCAAAAAGTTCAAACTTTTGATCTTTAGTTGATTCTTTGCCTAGCAACTCTCCTCTTTTGCAACTCTTTTGCAAACTATGACTCATCGCTTTAGCTTTTAAATTTGCATTTGAAATGAATCATTTTGTGACTTAGAAGATAGAAAACTTGCATTCTTATCTTGATTTTGTTGAAAACGAATTATGAAATCTGATTGAGAGGTATTAGGTTGATGCAAAAGTCTTTTTCATTTTTTTCGTACTTCCGTTAAAAAGTAACAAATGCACCAATTGAACAACGGTTTATTGCATTCGAAAGGCCAATTATTTTTCTGCAAAATGACATTAAAACGAGTTTAAAATGTCTTATGTCTAGATTTTTTTGAGAGCCTGAAGTCGGGTAGTCAAAAAAGGCGACGGCTCGATGATGCATTTTAGACGCTTTAGCTAAGGAAACCCAATCTTGATGTTAATAAATAAAAGATAGAGCACAAAAAGTTAGATATTTTTTCAGATTTTCAGAGAAATTGATTCAGCCAATTTCTTTATAGAGGTTTTTATAGATTTTTATGAAAAACCCGTTTTCACTCTCGAATTTGCTTGAAAGTGAACCCAAATTGACTTAAAAAGATGGGAAATTGAACAACAAACACTTTTCATTTAGAGCAAACCATAGGTTAATTGATGACTTTGTTATTTTTCAAAAGAAGTACGAAAAAAATGAAAAAGACTTTTGCATCAACCTAATAGATTTTTTAGATCAATGACAAAGAAAAAAGCAGAAGAGATCAGAAAGAAGCTTAGAAAAAACTTTGATTGATAAGATTGAACAGATAACTTTTCATGACTGAAAAAGTGATGTCATAGCCAGATTAAGCTGGCTAAATAGCTGAATTAGCTAAACTAAAGCTAAAACTTAAAATTTTTAAGTCAATAAATCAATTCAAATCTCGAGAGAGTGATTTGACGAACCGAAAATCGTATAGTTGCACCAAATTTTCCTTTGTTGTCCCAACAAGTCATAAGATGCCGATATTTGTTATCTATAGCTGACATTTCAGATTCACAAAACGAAAGAGGAACAGAAAAGGGAGAAGAGAAGAAAAGCGGAGGAGGGACGAGGCGGCGAGTCATGGGAAATGCCAACGGAACGTCAAGAAGTAAGTGAAAAGCTCACTCTTCTTATCAAAAATCATTGACTCATAAGAAAACCAAGTTTACAAAGTCATTTGTCATATTCTGCAAATTTTCTATTGATCTGAACGTTTTAAATGGTCCGAACCAGGAATTCTAGACGTGAGTTTAACAATCAAAAAAGCCAAGGGATTTAGCAATCATAACAATCATAGAAGCTAAAACAACAACCAAATTGGTAGCTTTTGATCTCAAACTTCCAGAAACTATTAATATTTTTTATTAAACAAAAAAGAAAAACAGATTTTATTCCCGATTTGACAAACCAATCGTCTTTTGAGATTTGATTTAGTTTAAAATATCAAAGTTTTTCTCTAAACTTCCCTTATTTGCTTATTTGAAGCATTGATTCTAATCTTTGACATTCTTACAATGCTGAAAATTGCACCACAGACAAAAAGCTTAAACTTCAGTTTCTAGTCGGTCCTCTTTGAGCTTTAATGATCGCTTTCATTCTATTTGAATCTTGCAACCAATTTCTCGAGGGTCTGTGGTGAAATCGACTTCCAAATCTCTTACGCCTGAGCCTAAGCCTTGAGCCTGAGCTTAAGCCTTTGAAGAAAACTGGTAGCCACGCAATTCTCGTTTTACATTTGCCCACAAATGTTCCACACAATCGGGAGAGTAAAGCAATGTTTGTAAAAGAAAAACGTTGATTCGGAACCAGCCCGAAAGATGAACAAAACGACCATTTGAAATCTTAACTTTTCGACCCATTCGCTTGTATCTTTTGGATCGTTATCTTATTGAAATAATCAGGAAGACCCTATATTTGCATGAGCATCCTTCGGATCAAGTCTTTTAATATTTTACTAGATTTTTCCCCATCCATGATTTCATCGATTCTAACGAGAAGACCAATTGAATGAAGCCTTTCCAGCACATTACACCACCACAATTAAAGTTGACTGTTGGTCTGGTGTATTTGAGTCTCCAATCGAGCTCCAATCGGTCGTTTGATCACATAATATCGACATTTGGCTAAAAGGGGGTTTTTTTTTCGACGGTGCAATTGTTTTTCCACAACTGTATATATTCTAATCTTATATAATATATCTTGCAAAACAATCTGGAGCCTTTTCTAAGCTTTCCAAGCTTTCCAAAAGCTCTTTGAACTCTTTAAACTTGTATTTAAGACAAATCCTTACAAAGTTCAACGAATTTCACAGATTCTTTCAACGAATTCTTTTCACAGCTTTTAAAAAATAACCTAACTTTAACCAGTTGAACTTTTCCCTTCCTCTTCTCCCTTTCCCCTTTGACCTTTCACTCCCCCGCCGTTCACTGATCTCCTCAATTTTTCGCAGTAATTTTTCTGATTTTCCCCCGAGTCTTTCCGGAAATGAATCTGGCCTCTTCGGTCAGAGAACCCCTTTCCTTCACTCCTTTTCTCTCAAATTTTACCTCTTTTCTGCAATTATTTTCCCTTGGACCTCAGTCTAACTCTCCCACATTTCACAGCTGTTCACTAACTCCTTTTGCTTGGTCACGAAAACGTTTCAGCAAAAGGAAAAGTCGTCAATTTTTTCTTTTAGTTAGGCTCGTCTATCGTCAATTTGAGAGAAATCTCTTGGATTGACTCATTTGAACAAAAAAATGACAAAAAATGAGTTCGATTGCGAAAGTCGAAGCCTAAAGTGCCAGATCCACAAGGAAAAGGATGGAAACTTTAAAAGAGACCACGTCAAACGGCCAAACAAAAAGGTTCTGCAGTTTTCGTTCTTCGGCAATCTATAACTTTTTTTGATTACTTCTATCAAGTGGTATTGATCTATTTTATTTGATTCTGAACTCATAGCTCATAGAACTCATAGAAGCCTTGAGGTAGCACAAGTATATCCGCGAGGACCTAGACCTAAGTCTCCAGGTCAAGCCAAGCCAACCTCTTAACTTTGGCATTGACTTGGCTCTGGCTTGGCTCTGGCTTGGCTCTGGCTTGGCTCTGGCTTGGCTCTGGCTTGGCTCTGGCTTGGCTCTGGCTTGGCTCTGGCTTGGCTCTGGCTTGGCTCTGGCTTGGCTCTGGCTTGGCTCTGGCTTGGCTCTGGCTTGGCTCTGGCTTGGCTCTGGCTTGGCTCTGGCTTAGCTAGCCTTGGCTTTGACTTCTATATCTAGCCTTCTCCGTGGGCATGGATAAATTTTGTGGACTTACTTTATCATGACCAAGTTTTACTCCTATACTCTTCCTTTCCCTCAACACACGATTAATATTGCACCTCACTCTAGTCATGCGTAATCTCTGTTTTTCCCCCCAATGAGTGTTCCACTGCCAAGGGCACGAGATCTCAACTCGTGTTCTACTTTTTCTTTTACTCAAGTCTTCTTGCCCTTCTTCGATCACCTGTTTAGCATCACTATATCCACAAAAAATCACCCCGAAAACAGATCAGCTGGTGACTGGTACTGGGGCCTTTATTTTCAACTCTCTTTTCTCATTTCAACCCTTTCTCTTTCTCCTGATGAGACCCAGGCGTCAACAGTTGTTCATCTTTTTGAGAAAAGGGCACAGACAATTTTCTCTCCTCGAGATCTGGCCATTTTCACCGAGTCACGTTTTTCGAGGAGACTTCATAAGATTTGATTCTCAAGATTTTCTATCTAATTTCTATCTAAAAACACTTTCTATCTAATACTTTCTAATGGGAGAATTTATTGCTACGAGACGTTCACTATTCGGATCACATCAAGATGATCCAGATTTCGATTCAAGTTCTTTTCCTGGAGTTGGACAAAGACTCGGTGATGGACAGGAGAATCCTTGGTGGGGAAGACGAGTTGTTTTGAATACAGATGATGAGGATGAGCCGAGAAGAGTCGACAGTACATCGAGTAGTCAAGGGGCTTCAGCTTCGGCTCTTGACTCCAGTCCCACAACGGATCGAAGACATTTGGATGTACCTGTTGTCACTCATCGAAGACACACGAGAAGCAGTGGTGATCGAAGGAGAAGCTTTCATACAGCTGAAGAAATGGAGAAGAGGAGAAGCTATTATTTGGATGATCGATCTCCGCCATCTTATATGAGAAGATCCTCATCCGATCGCAGATCTGATCTATCCGGTGATCAAGCGTCAAGCTCACAAGATGAAGAGCCAATGATCGCTTCAACTTCTAGACCCACCATCACAAGACGAAGATTCTATGTCTCTGAATCTGATTCAGATGTTCGATTGGATGAGCTATTGAGAGCTGCAAGAGATGTGAGAAATAGATCCCCACACGGATATCAAGATAGAACAAGATCGCTCACGAGAAGAGATTACCATAGGCCAGAGAGATCGAGAACGAATTCTGATTCAAATTCTGATGATGATTTGAGACCGGGTAGTGCTTATAGCAGCTGTGGATCGGTAAACGAAATTGTTGATCGTTTCAAGGATTACAACAGGAGAGTGAGAAGTGGGTTTTGAATTTAAACTTGATCCAACTCAAATTTTTCAAATTCAAATCTATTTTATGTCTCAATTTGTTCGATTTCAATTCGATTTTTCAATTCAATTCAATTCGATTTCTTTTGCCAATGACCCCTCTAATGATAAGAGCCGATTGGTTCGCTGTGTAAATAGAAAAGTGCCGAAACTGGCTCTGAATTGATTCCTTTTCGCCTTAAGTTTTCAAATTGCTCAATTTGTACCAGTTCTGCAATAAGCAAGATCTTAAAAAGATGAACGTAAAGCCTAACTTTTCCTGAACACTCCCAGGTGTTTCTCATCACCGGCCATCTTGTTTTTGTTTTCATCTTTCTATCCTTATCCTTTTCAACCAAGTGGTTGATTGTCCAAAGTCTAAGCCACCCCAGCGAACAAATAGATCTGATAAACAAGCCCCTCAAGCTCGAGTGGTGAACGCTCGCTAATTGTAAACAGGTCTACCTGTCCTCTGACCATCGATCACCTAAACAAATGCTTTTTCTGTACTTGATGATTAGTTGTCATGCACTTCATCAATCATTAGCTAATCACAATTCAAAAATCAAAATGATGAAGAAATTTTAGAATTTAGATATTAGATATTAGAATTAGAAGAATTTAGAATCAAACAATTCAATTTAGATATGGTAGTGAACTCGTTGGCCGATCTCGATGACAATACGTTGATCAACCAGGTAAGGCAGGGTCTCAAATTGAAAAGGCTAACAATTTACTATATAAAAGAACAGTGTCTGTCTGTATGCCTGTCTGTACGGGCATTTTCTCGGCCGTGTTTTGCCTAATAAAGCTAGAACTTCTTTAGAAAACCTTAGAACATTTCGTAGTTGTGCCATTTAAAATTTAAAAATAAAAAGTCAAGATTGAGTGGCACTACGGGGAGTTGAACCCGGAGCATGCGGGCCGTAGACAAGCGCGCTCCCGACTCCGCTACGGCTTAGACATGGCTTAGCTGCCAAAGATTCAGCTAGAAAAACCCGCCATTACACTATTTTTCTGCTTTTTCTGAGTAAGCGAAAAACGGTGTCTGTCTTGGCTTGTAATCTTTGCACTAATTCCATAAATTATCCAATCCAGGGCACCTCCGAGTCCCGACAACCACAACTTGGCTTTCACACTGTTCACGGACAAAATGTCGGCTTGCAAAGCGGTGGACGAATCGCAAGAAGAAAGGAGAGCTTCTGCAAGGGACTTGCTTTTTCAAATCGGTAAGTACACGAAAAATAAAGACTAATAGACTAATAGAAATAGAGACTAAAGAAAATAAAGGTAGAAAAGTTTGTTTTGCATTTATCCCCAGTCTTGAAGACGACATCAGCAAAGCTTTAGGCTCACCATTAGCTCAACAAAATCACTATTTCAGTCCGATAACCGTTGACGAAAATGTGTGCATTCGATTGAACGAGGTGGCTTCAAATTGGTCAGGTGTCATGAGATTCGGAGTGACCAACGTTGATCCAGAAGTGTATCGTGGTGGAACGATTCCAAAGTGAGAAGCCATTCTTAATAAAAAAGTCTTGGTTTTTTTCTAGATTTGCTTGCCCTGATCTCACGTGCAAGGACGGGTATTGGGCAAAAGCTTTGCCAGAAAGATACTCAATTGAGGGTCATATCATCAATTTCTATGTGACAGCTGATGGAGAGCTTTTCTATGGAATCAATGGAACACCAAAGGTAACAAAAGTTGGAAGATTATTCTAATAAATATTTTAGGGTCTATTCTTGTCAGGAATCAATGTAAGACTTCCACTTTGGGTGATCGTTGATATTTACGGGAATTCAGTCTCCGTTGAATTCATTGGTGAGTATAAAACTAGCGCAGTTTTCAACTTTTCAAGTTTTTAAAACAAATCAATGGGATTACAATCTATAATTTTGATTCAAACCCATCCAGTCTTCAACCAACAAAAGACTGGTCGATTCGTCATGGATAGTTTGGAAAGGCTTGCCTCTTTTGCCAGTTTTAAGTCTCAGGTGTTTGCTGTAACCCCTTCATGCACATCATGCAACAACACTCACCCATTTCCCTCTTCCTGTTTCTCTTTCTTTCCCCTTTCCTCTTTTGGAACTCAAGAGACAGTCATCGTTTGAAAAAAGACCGGAGGGCGGAAGGACTTTCCATTCTGTGTTTGCACTCTTTTCCCCATTTTCGATCGTCGCACTCTTTTTGGCTCGTTTTCCTGGACCATTTGGACCCAAATTGGTATCGGAAGTGGGCATTTCTAACTTTATAGTCTCTAAAATCTTTCAAATCCCGTCAAAATTCTCTCCGTTCCGTTCCTGTTTCTGAATTGGAATTCTTTATATTATTCAGCTAACAAGATGAAGACGAAAAGTTGCAGGAAAACAGGTAAAAAGAGGAAATGCTTGTTGATCTGATAGAGCTGTTTGTGGCTATTCTAGCCGGGCTCTAGAACTAGGATCATAGCAGGCCAGGCAGACCAGAGCTGAGTCAGGAGTTAGCTCCTGGTCTAGTCCTGGCCTTGCCTAGTCCGATAAAATAGTCTTTGGAATAAACTTGATCTGATAACTAAGCAATGGGTCTGAGCTTGCCTAGACTAAAAGATTGAAATGGTGGATTTAATGAGAAATCGATGTTTGGGCACAAATAAGCAAACGGAGCTTGTTTCCCAAACCGCATCCGCAGACAATTTTTGTCTAGACTTCATAAAACAAACCATTAACTCTATGTATTATGATAGTTTTACTTTATCATTCTCCACAAAGCATAACCGCTAAAGAGTAGTTTGTGTGGATATTTTCAAAAGTTCCGTTTGCCTTTTCTTCGACCCATGGGGTTTTGTGTACTCCACTTTGGGGAATCTGTTTACCCAGCCGCCATTGGGGTTTTTCTTGTCGGACACAAGGCTTTTTCAGCCTTCCAACTTGCCACTGTTTACCCTCTCTTTACTTTTCAATTATCCACGAGCTTTTTTTTCCGGCTCAAATCGAACTTCTGAAAGTCAAGCGCCATTTTGACCAGACAAAATCAAATTGATCGATTTGTTCTGAAAATTTATTACCTGTACTACCTGTACTATTCATCAAACTCTTTCTATTCCTTTAACACTTGAGATTGTTTTCATTGTTCACTGCTATCGATCACCGAAATCACCGAAATCCAATCTCTTTTGTGTTCAACTCGTCAACAACTCTCTCACTTTTTCTCAAAGTTGACTGTGTTTCAAAAGTGATCAAATGTCACGACATTTCCGCGGCAATTGGCCATTGTTTCCAACTCTGACGAGTGATGAGGATTGTCATTCTTTAATCATTCAACAACAAAATGAGAATGATCCATTTGAGGAGGAATTCTGGAGAGTCAAGCAGAAATTGAAAGCTTTTGAAGAGGGTGAGCGGGGGAAGTTGTAGAGCTGTCCTAAATTTTCTAACAAATCGATTCAGAACAAAACATTTAATACCATTTCTTTATCATAAATTTTAGATGCCAATGATGCAAAGCTAAGAGCTTCACGAGCAATCACCAGCTCCGCCAATCCGTCATCATCTCAACCGACAAGAACCGCTCCACCAAGGCAACAACCTGCCCAATCTGCAGCCACTGTTTCTGATAATGCTTCAACGAGTGTACTAAGTGAGTTTTTAAAAAAATACATAAAATACATAAAAATTCACACGAATAATGTGGTACAAGCAATACACCAGCAGCCCTAACTGTAAAAAAGCCGATATGTATGGAAAAAAACCAACAATCTAGCTGGCGGGATTGAACCCTTACAGAGCGAACCCTTACAGAGCGAACCCTTACAGAGTGAACCCTTACAGAGTGAACCCTTACAGAGCGACCCTTAAGGCGAACCCTTACAGAGCGACCCTTACAGAGCGACCCTTACAGGTGAACCCTTACAGGCCTACAGGGACCCTTACAGAGTGAACCCTTACAGAGTGAACCCTTACAGAGTGAACCCTTACAGAGTGAACCCTTACAGAGTGAACCCTTACAGAGTGAACCCTTACAGAGTGAACCCTTACAGAGTGAACCCTTACTGACTAAGATTCATGGCTCTCAACCAATCGGCCATAGCGAAATTGCTTAAGCATTTCTGTAATAGTAGTGAGCCGAGTTAATGACTATTTGACGGTTTCCAAGTTTTCGCAGAAGCTCAACACTCTAATCCCCCACAAGATCTCATCGTCAGCTACATTTTCCGACCACATATCGATACGTTCTGATAAAGGGTTTTCGAGATTTCCAAAAAATTTAGGCAAAGCTTAGCAAACTAGTATTAGGGAAATATGGTACTATGTCTTCAATATTGCAGATTTTTAAGCATCATTGTCTTTTCAGGTGGCGTCGATTTGGATCTCTTGCAATTCCACCGTGTCACTGGAAGACACGTTACATTGAATGGATTGAGAACGATGGCCACGAGAAGCGAACAAGAATATACACAGGTGGGGAAACAATTGGAAACGTTTTTCACAAATATGACAAAGATATTGTATTATGGACGCTATTGTGAATGTTTTAATATTAAACAAAAGGTGTTCAGGGCTATGTCTTCACCGAAAGACCCATTCGATTCAACGAGAAAGTGATGATACAGGTAATGAAGGCTCAAAATGGAAAATCAAATTAAGTTTACTGAGTAAATAAATCTAGAAAAAGGTGAATAAATGTAAATTTAAACGAATTGCAGGTTGTTGCCGTTCAAAATCTCTATTCTGGGAGCTTGGCTTTTGGTGTGACATGTTGTGATCCAAAAAATTTGGTTGGAAAAGAGTTGCCTGATGATTCTTCTGGTGAGTTCAAAGCTTGCGGGACGAATTTTCTCAGTGAATAATCGACTACACACTGTTAAACCATGTTAAAAGATTATTAAAAGAAAATTTTAGTTTCATAACATCAAAAGCATTTAGATTTAAATTTATCTACCTTTACTTTTACTAAATAAACTTTAGACCTGATCGAAATGCCTGATTACTTTGTGGGAATCAAAGATGTGGCGTTGAATCCCGTTGCAAACACATTACTGCAATTTTGGATAAATTCTAATGGTTGGTTTTTGATTAATTTCTTGATCTACTTAGTTTTTAGGTGAAGTGAAATTCCAAAAGGATCAGAAACAGCCACGAACAATCATGCACGTTGATGCGACGCTTCAACTCTACATGTGGTTTGACGTTTATGGACAAACACAAGTGATCAAATTGCTTGGTGAGTTGAAGAAGTTGATTTTAAAATGGAAGAAAGTCTTTATCTAGATTCAATTCTAAATTTCAGGCTGTTATCCTGCAAGTCGACCTGCAAGACCAGCTCCTCCAGCTGTCGTTCCTCCATCACCGACAACGACAGCAATGCCCACTCGAGTGGCCCTCCCGGTTTTACCCAACAGTACGTCAAGAACGAGAAGGGGTGAAGGTAAACATTACAGTTTAAACTTTAGAATTAGTTCTAGAGTTACGAAATAAATCAACAATGCGAAAATTTTAGCTGCAAGCCCACAAAGAGACAATCCTTCTCATTCCACCCCATCACCTATTCCATTGAGAGTGGCAATGGAGAACATGAGACTTGGAGATGGTGAGTGCATCAGATTAGGTTATCGGACATTTGATACGCCGCCCCTTTTGCCATTGGCAAGCTAACTTTAATAATATCTTGGTGTTAGGCTGTTCAATTGAAATATTCTTGATATCATTGGATGCGCCAAGTCTTTCTCTGTCGATTAGTACAAAAATTATTACTTTCTCTTATAAGTTTCTAATTGCCAAGATAATTTCTCATCAAGTATCTGCTATCTCGTTTGCTAAAGAATACTTTCGGGTGTACAAAAGAAAACGAAAAGACTTTCTGGACAGCCTAATCAAAGCACTTTCTAAAAACAAATTCTAGGCTCAGCTCCAAGTTCACAAAGAAGCACTCCAGCAATTCCGCCTCGTCGTGCTTCGTCGGCTGTCGATGATCTATTGTCATCGGATATTGGATCCAGTGGAGGACCACCAGCATTGTCTCCAGCAAATGCTTTCACACTTAAGTGAGTTCTCAAATACAAACTCTATGCAAATTGCTCATCATCACTTTTAGCACACCGCAATATCTCCCAATCATCACCCCTCCGACCACATCAACCACGAATCCATTTACAGCTCATTTACTAGACTCCGTCAGTTTTGGTTATCGTTAAATTATAAAGCAAATGTCAATTTGTTTGTATTATCAAGATCAATATGAAATTTTGAATTTATCCTTGATTGATTGATATTTCTAGGTGACTTCTCCAACTGCTCGAGCTCCACCCCCATTAGCCCCTCGACCTCCAACAATGGGCCAAAATCGATCGGCTCCCACACTTCCCCCAAATCGACCACCATTGCCCCCACCAATCAGGTAATAAAAGGATAAAAATTTATTACAAAAGTTTAACGGATTTTCAATTTAAACGAAACTTTCAGCACTCTTCCCTCCATTCCTCAAGTCACCTCTCCGCCCTCAACCACACCATCAAAAGAATTTCCTGATGGTAAGTGAACATCTAAAATCAAAATTTACTAAAGAATGAAATCTAGATATCAAATCTATTCTTGTTTCAGATTTGGAGGAAAGCGAGGAGTGCACAATTTGTATGAATGCAAAGATCAACTGTGTCATTTATAAGGTGAGTTTACAGTTGGTTGGTTACAACTTACAGTTGGTTACATTTACAAGACTTACAAAAGTTCAAGAATTAGTTTAAAATAAATTTTAAGAAGAATCCACTAACTTAAACAGTTACTATGCAACTGTTACTGTTTTGAACAGTTATTTATCATTTAATGTCGTCATTTTCAGTGTGGTCACATGTGTATGTGCTACGATTGTGCGGTGACACTAAAAGATCAAAAAGGGGAATGCCCAATGTGCCGAAAACCGATGGACGATGTCATCAAGTGCTTCAAATCGTAAAGTGATCAAATTTTTAAAACATTTTCCATTCGCTTACTTCTCTTGGTGCTACTCCTGTACAGCCTTCATCCAAAAATTCGCTGAAATTCGTTTACTTAACCTTTTTTTCTTTTATGGGTGCTTTGGAAACGCATAATTCTTGCCTGGACATTATTTTTTGAAATTTTTTGCTCATTTTTTTATTTACACAACTTAGGATAAGTCAATTCGCGATTGTTCTTGATTCGTTGATTTATTATTTCATTTTTTCGGGTTGTTTGAGAAAATAAATGTAGTAAGCTATGAAAAAATAACATTGGATTGATTGGACTAGTTTTAAAAAACATGGAACTGAAAATTAACATATAAACAATTCCAAAATATCCAGATTTTTTGATTTAGAGTAAAATTTTGAACGCTCAGTGCCTTGTATTCATAAACAAGTCTTTACGAGTCTATTTTTCTTGCCGAAAACTTCCTTCAAAGGCGCGATAAGCGTCAAAAGCCCTTTACTTTCATTTATTTCAGAAAATAATATCATTTTTGATTTAGAACGAAGTCATGACTGAATATGAAGATGGAATGATTGAAACAAGGTCACATACATCGACAAATGATCGTTTCACGAGGGTCAATCATAAGGAGTGAGATCATTTTAACGAATTGGTGTTGTTTCTTAAAGAAAAGGCATCGAGTCACGCTGGTGTTTGACTCGAGACCAAGTCCATTTTATAGAGTCGGTCATGGGGATCTCGAATCCGTTTTTAGTTTTTGTAAAACGCTTCGCAAACGCAAAGTATTTGGCATAGAAAAACACCTTGAACTTGGAATTTCAATCACCTTATGAAACCGCCACACGATTCTTTAACAACTGTTTTCAGAGTCTCATGGATAGTCTGTCAGACTACCGAATCTATCTTACATATTTGCTTTATACTTTATTCTTACATATTTGCAATTAATAATCTTATACACCGCGGTGTATAGGATTATTAATTGCACCGCCGGCGGTGCACCGCCTTCTGTAACTTCAACAAATACATACAAAAGATCAGGATCATTAGATAAGTATTGAAAAGTTTAAACCTTTTTTAAAAAGTTTGGCGATAGTGGGACTCGAACTTGGGAGCGAAAAATGCAATGGGGTCGGTGATCTAGCAGACTATCCATTAAAACACGCAAGCGGCTGCGGGGGGAGCGTGTGGCTGGGGGAGCCTCATAAGAGCGATTTTCGGCCGAAATTCAAGGTGTTTTTCTAAGCCAAATATTTCGCGTTTGCAAAGCGTTTTGCAAAAACTAAAAACGGATTCGAGATCCCTATGGCTGACTCTATAAGATGTAGTTGGTCTCGAGACAAAAGGCCAGCTTAACTGATTAGGGCCAGTCTAGATTAGGGTATTCAGTTTAGAAGAGGGTATTCAGTCTAGACTGTCTGGACTACGGTATCGAGGCTAACTCGGTGCCTTTCCCTTGTTAGTCTTCATGTTCTTTAGGAATTTAAAAATCTGATAAAACATTATGATTACAGTAGAAGTTAAAGTTAAAGTTACAGTTAAAGTTACAGTTAAAGTTAAAAAGCAGACTCGATTTTTGCACTTTAAAGTTTCTTTGCTTGAGACAATTGGGACCAAGAAATGCCAAGCACACTTGATTTTTGAACAAATTTCCAGATTGCATAGTTGAGCACAGTTCACCAAGAATCCTTCTTAAAATCCATTCCTTATCCCAACCTGATTAACTCACTTTCACTCTCGATCAAAAACCACTTTCAGCCAAACGGTGGTGCGCAAATGGCGTATCGCCCAACATTGGGACAAAATTCAAGAAAATGCTAATAAGCGGCTTTTCGAGAGGGAATGCCTGGCATTGAACGCTTTGAAACACCCAAATATTGTGGAAATGATTGGGTGGAAATCGAATGAAAACGATTTTGCTGTCATTTACCTGCGATATGTTGGGAAAATTTCACTTGATAAGGGTGAGAATGGTTATTGTTCGCAAATTTGCACAAATTTAACACGTGCAACTAAAGCATGAATGAAATTATTTGCATAGAGTGGATACAAATTTCTCTGAGTTCTTTTTGCAAACTTCTTTGCTACTTTGTTTTCATCTCTGCAATCTTTCAATCAAATATTTGAGATAAGACTACAGAAAAATTCATGTCTGGCTTACAACAACGCCTAGATTTTCAATATGACATCATTGAAAGCTGTATTTCAAGCTTTTCAAGACAACACACATAAGAAAAAGCTTGAAATAGTTGATTAATAATTGAGGTCATTTGTTTCAGTAATCTTCAACACGAGCTACACCTATTCAGTACACACAATGATCAATTATCTGATTGACATCCTGGAAGGGGTCGTTTTCTTGCACAGAAATCATTTTTTACATCGAGATCTGAAGCCGTCCAAGTACAGAAATGATTTTGGGACATTTGATTTACCCTCTTTGCCATTGACAATTCAATTTTGAGCTCAAATATCTTGGTGTTGGGCTGTTCAATTTAAATATTCTTGATATCATTGGATGCGCCAAGTCTTAATTGTCGATAATTGATGATAAATTATCTTGACAATTAGAAAGCAACTTATAAGAGAAAGCAATCATTTTTGTATTAATCGACAGAGAAAGACTTGGCGCATCTAATGATACTAAAAATATTTCAATTGGACATCCCAACACCAAGAAATTTGAGCTTAAAGTTAGATTGCCGATGGCGAAAAGGACGGGGCGCGTATCAAATGTCTGATAAGCTTTTGCAAAAGTATTTTAGCATTTTGGTGGATGCAAATGGAAATTTGAAACTAACTGACTTTGAAACAGCAAAGAAAAGCCTCGATCCTGGAGAAACGACAACTTGGGACTCTGGCGGTACGCCACAATATCAACCGCCCGAGTCCCATCCACCTCATGGAAGAGAAGCAACGGTCGGATCTAGCTTCGGACACCAGTTAACATCTGAAAAAGAAAGAGAACAAGAAGAGTTTTCAAAGTTATAGAATTCCCTGTTTCCATCAGAAGTCATTCATATGCTCGTTGCAGCTTTTGCAATCCCAATTGTAATATTTAGTTTGATGAGAAAGGAGATGTTTACGCTATTGGCATCACTCTATGGGAAATGATACAGCGAAGGTGAAAATCTTCAACTAAACAAGAAAATATAAATTATACGAGTAGCATGAAGTTAAGAAGTAGAATATTTATTATATAAAGAAGCTTAAAAGGCTCAACAATTGCTAAATAAAGTTAAATAGTTATTAACTCAATAATGTTAATCTCTTTGATAATTATTATACTAAAAGTTCTATGGTTTGGCTTTTGCAAAATTGTAAATAAAGGAGAAGCTCTTTACTTATTGACTGACCTAATAGAGAGAGCATTTTTAGACCTCTTCCCTATGTGTATTCTCACACTAGAGAAGCGCGCACTTTGGAGCTCAGAACCTTGGCTTAAAACGCATTTTCCCAAGTTCTCATTGTGTTTTTCGGAATCTGCGTATAAAACTACCCCAGAAAAATTGGTTTTGAAAGAAAGTACTCCAATTCCTTTTAACTAAAACGCAAATCGAATAATCTGCTAGGGTGCGCTGCTAGACGAAGGAACTCCCCAGAAAAGATGAACTGCGTTGTTGATGAGCAAAGCTATGTGGTCACATGACACATAGTGCATAAGCATACCTGAAATTCGATATATCAACCACTCAAAATTCTAACTTTCTTTGAATCTATTGGGTTGGTGAATTGAAAACTGCGGGCTATTGTCATATGTGGCAGCTTGAGCACTTTCTTCAAAAGAAACCCATTTTGGTGTCAATGGAAAAGTTGTAGAGAATCAAAAATAAAGCTTATATCCAAATTTTCAGAACGATTCAAAAACTGGTTTTCAAGAAATGCCAAATTTACGAATTCTCACAAAACTTGCATTTTAAGCGAAACTACTAAGTGTATCTTTTTGGAAATTTGGCTATAAGCCTAATTTTTGATTCTCTACAACTTTTCTATTGACACCAAAATGGGTTTCTTTTGAAGAAAGTGCCCAAACTGGGATATCTCCAGTCCTCCATTTGAGCCCTCCATTGAGTCTCACACTTGTCTCACACAGAAACCAAAATCCTACCACGAAAGAGGAATCCGCAAATTGCCTGTAAAATGGGCAGAAGTCGTCAATAATAATGGAAATTATTTGGAATGAATTTATGGTTTTATGTTGAATAAATTTTAGTTCAAAGTCCCGCAGTTTTCAATTCACGAACCCAATTGTATTATAGTTTTTAGCCGAGTATGGCCACTTTGGATAAGAAATGACTCGCCAACAGTCTACCGAAATAGCCTTCTGAGTCTGATCTCTCAATGCGATGATGAGTTCAAAGGGATTGTTGAAGTGTAAGCCATTTCCCAATTTCTGATTGACACTTGTTTTCAATGCAATACTTCTTGTTATCTCCAGGTGCACTCTCTTTTCACCGGAGCTTCGTGCAAACCCTTGTGACTTACTAAAGCACGTTCGCAAAATGCCAGAGGTGATGCCTTCTGAGTCTGATCTACCGATAAAGAAGAATATAGAAATTTTTAGACTAAAATCTACACTCAATACAGAAAAGAGCTGATTTTTGATAAGGATCAGTTATTTTTGCTACCGCCAGAAGGTCTAGGACTGGAATTTGGAGAAAAAGACAATGAAAGTCAACCAGAAACCCTCAGACCTCCTTCAATTGACACAATCTCGTGGAGAATACGTCTTGAACAGGATTTCCCATCGACTTCAACAATTGACATAGATCGTATTGCTGAGATTAATCAAAATCGAGAAAAGATTCAGCAGAAAATGAAGCGTTTATTTGAAAGAGTTGGACTTCGCGGTGAGCCGGAGGTCATTGCCGAGGTTAAACTTAATCTAGCAGAAATCAAGAATGAAGTCAGTGAGAATTTCGGGAGAGAGAGAAATAGCAGAAATTGAGTTGCGTTTCAAAGATAGGCTGACTGATTTGTCGGCGGATGAAGAGAGGAAATTGAGACAGCCAATTGTGGCACAAAGACCCCGTTCATTGACAAGTCCCGCAAATTACTCGAATCGGAACGATGGTCGTTTGGCTCCGGAAGATCCGTTCCATCAAAAATTGTAAACATTGAAAAACGGACAGCTTTGTAAATTCTTGTAAATAGTCTTTGTGAAACTTCAGGCAAACTTCACGTTGTAGCCTCTGCATTCACATTTGGAAACTTTCAGATTTGAATAAAGATTTCTTGTTTGATCTGTTTGATTTGATTTGATTTGAACAAGAATTTGATTAAGAAAAGTGATACTCAATTGCAATGAATTACAAGCAGTACAAGTACAAGCAAGTACAAGCAGTACAATCCAGTACAAGCAGTACAGTTTAGTACAAGCAAGTACTAAAAGAGTGCTACTAAAAGTGAATTCAAAAGCTTCAACGGAAGCTTTTCAGCAAAAGTTTTAAGTCAAAGATTTTCGTTTTCTGGATCCAGCTTACTTGTTTACAACTAGATTTAAAGAAAAGCAAACAATTTACTGAAAAACATAACCAAAGCCACTTCAAAAGCCTTTCAAAAGCAAATTTCTAGCAGAATCTAGTTCGAATCTAGTTTTTTGAGTGTTTTCTCTAAATTTCACCGGGGGCAAAGGCCTATCCGGATTCTGATATCATATGTGCTTATTTTTATCACTTTCCCTTTTTCGTTTATCAGGTTCATTAAAGAAACGGAGATCGGCTTATCCAGAGCAAAAGAATGATGAGAAAACGCTGCAAAATGTGAAATTCGCGTGAAATGACGAAAATTTGGGCGCTTTCAAAGACCAAAAAAGATAAGTGGCTTATTATCTTCTATTTAAGGCTTGCAAGTACTGGAAGAAACAAGTACAAGTACAAAAAGTTATAGCTTGTTTCAAGAAAAGTTATCTTTGTTTCAAGTTCGCTGGTTTGTTTCAGTTTAAAGGAGTCTTCTTTAACAGCTTTTGTAACTAGTATGGAAGCTTTTAAGTATATAGTAAGCTATAAATTTTAGTTTCAACTCTCTAATTTCTAAAAATGGTTGCCATCTCCGTTCCAACCGAGAATCGAGCCATCCATCGCCTTGAGAAAGAAATCGAGCCATTGCGAAAGAAATTGGCCGCTCATCCTCTCTACAAAGCTGTTCAAAATGTTGATCAGTTAAAGGTTCTGATGGAGAATCACGTCTTCGCTGTCTGGGATTTCATGGGATTACTCAAGGTAAGGCTATGTAATGGATTGATGGATTGATTGATGAATTGATTGATGTAAAGGATTGATTAAGTTTAAAATGATACAAGATTTGCTAAACCATTCATATACCTTCATAGCAAATTCATTTAAATTTTCAGGAATTGCAACGGGGTCTCACTTGCATCGATGTCCCATGGAGACCAGTTGGAATGAGAGACTCGAGAAGACTCATCAATGAGATCGTTCTCGGCGAAGAAAGCGATCAAATCGGTTTGTTATTGGGGCTGACAATTTGCAAGAGATCACAATCAAATGAACTTTAGATGGTCGCAACATTTCCCATCTCGAGTTGTACCTTGAATCAATGTACGACGCTGGGGCCAACACTCGTCCAATCAATCGACTCCTCGAGCATTTCGCCAAGCAAAAAGTTGTCGATATTTCGGATGATGGGCTTAAAAAAGTGAGTGATTTAGGCAAAGAATTAAAATTTTCATTAAAATATTCATTTTTAACATAAATATTAAGCTATCCAGAAAGTCTTTTCATTCCTTTTCCTACTTTCGTTAAAAATAACAAATTCATCAATTAGACTATGCTCTGATCAGTCTTGAAGTCATACAAGTACTGTGAGTTTCCTTTTCTCTACAGATTTGATTCCTTTTCTATCGAGATTTGGTTCCTTTTCTCTACGGATTTGGTTCCTTTTCTCTACGGATTCGGCTAAAGTCTTGTAATTAGTCTTTTGTCTTAGTACAGCTGGTGATGGGAGATTGAATAATAAACACTTTTTACTTAGAGCAAACTATAGGAGGTCTTTAACTTATCTGTAGATGATCTTGATCTTGCAGCTCTAGTGGATTCTTGACTTTATCTATCTCAATTATTATATACATTATATTATATTAAATCATGTGGCTTTCTATCGGTGCTTTTCGTGTTTTATGTGAATTCATGTGTATTAATTTTTGCGTACTTTATCTGGATAAAGTATCTATAATAAAATCTAGGCATTCGCCGAATGCAGTGTGCCGAAGCCAGCTCGTGACTTTGTGAGATCAACCTTTGAAGCTATTCGATCAGGCAAACTTCACGTGGTAGCCTCTGCATTCACATTTGGACGAGAAGATCTTATTCCATTGATGTTCACCGGATTGTTGAAAGATATGAATCAAAAGATTGGAGATGGATCTCTAAATTCATTCATTGTCTATCTAGAGAGGCACATTGAGGTGAGACGATTGAATCTTGTGCAGGAAAACAGTAAAATGAAGCTTAGGCTTAAGTTGAACACAGACAAATCTTTGTTTGTTCAATATTCAATTTGTGAGTGTAGGTTGATGGTGATGAGCATGGACCGATGGCCCTTCAAATGGTTGCCGAGATTTGCGGTAATGAAAGAGATCCCAGATGGAATGAAGCTATTGTCGCGGCGAAAAAGGCACTAACAGTAAGTGAAATATTCATCAAAACTGTAACGATAAAGTTTTTAAGTTTAAAGTTAAGATCTAAACTTACTCACAAATCATTTCCAGGCTCGAATCGCACTCTGGGATGGAGTGGTGGCTGAGATCGAGAAACGAAACAGCAAGAAAGCATAATTCTGAGCAAACAATCTGATTTCATTTTATTATAGACTTCTTTGACTTAATTTTGTTCAATTGCATGATTTTCGGTGATGCATATAAAGATTTATTTGTGATTCAACGTTACACAAAGTAACAGAGAATTCCACAGCAAGTAAACCTTCGGAAACGATGAGAAACTAGCTTAATACAGAATCTTTTTTAGATTCTAAATAGATAATTTTTAAGCATCAAAAATCGACCGCAGCCATTTGTTAAAAAGACTTTAATCGGACATTTCTCTCTGCCTTTTTTGTGTGAGGTTGTCGCGTGCCTTCCAGGGGAAAAGCGAGAACATTGCTCCTTCTCCCTTCTCCCCTACCCTCTCACTCTAACGCATTTTTCAATGTCGATCAGTTTGGAACACGACATGTGATATCAGACAAAAAGCGAGGCATTCCATTGCAAAACTTCATTCCAATCGCATATCGATTCAATCAGTTGTTTTCGAGCGCATTCCGATTGGGTATAGATGAGCAAAGATTGCTTCTGGGTGGCTGTTTTTGAGAGCTTAGAAAAGGCTAATTGAGTTCAATTTTTAAGCTTTCAAATACTTATACGAATGAACCACTAATACATCAATAGCTTGACATCAAGCGTGAGCTCGAGCTTGACATCAAGCGTGTGCTTGAGCTTGACATCAAGCTGGTGCTTGAGCTTGACATCAAGCGTGTGCTTGAGCTTGACAGAGCTAGGCTATCAGGATAATGAAATTGAGCCATTGAGCTATTGATGAATTTGTTATTTTTCAACGAAAGCACGAAAAGAAATGAAAAGACCTTCTGGACAGCCTAAGATGTTATAGAGAAGGTTTGATTATCTTTTAACCAATGATCTAATAACCATTTTTAAATCAGACTAATCCTAAGCAATTAAGCACAACCTTTTACTAACTATTAACTCTTGAAAACATCAAATTTAAACTATTTTCCACCAAACTGATTGCCAAGTGAGGACAATGATTGATTAATCACGTAAATTCACATCGTTTCAAGAAAACAACGCACTAGGATCACCACTTGTTCTCTCGATTTGTTTTTACTCTACTCTCAATATAAGTTTTTTTCTTTATTTTCGTGAAAATCTCAAAAAATATAAAAACGAAACAGTTCCCGGCCAAGGCCATTTCACGCGAAATCTTTGCGACAAATAAAAGCGAAATTTTCGGTTTTATGACGCCAAATTGGCTCAAGTGGGATCATTTGGGGAAGAACAAAATCAGGAATCAAGATTTTTCGCTTTTCTGTTTTATACCGTACAAAAAAAACTAGGGTCGATTGGTTTTATTGGTGGTATTTTGGTTGAAATGGTCATTCCCCTTCCGTCTTCGTTCGTTTGATGGCTGGAGATCAACTGTCGTTTATTTCTGCGTTATAAAACTGAAAAAAAAAACTTCAAAGTCTAATTTTCTACCTTGTCTGAGGGCTTGATTTCAAAGGATTGAGTTTGGTTTTTAATCAGCAAAGTCACTTTTCAACTTTTTAATTAGCAAAGTCACTGTTCAACTTTGCCATTTCAACCTCTACCCATTCTTAAACTCTTAAATTAGACGAAACTAGTGAATTAAATCATTTTTAAATCAAATTCAATTTAAAGAGTCCAAAAACCGAATGAATTCTTGCAGATCTTTGATTCCCATGACTCATTTTCCCACTAACCACTCTAGTCCTTGACTTATTTTCCGGGAAACTATCCAAATCCCACTCATCCCACATTCTTCGAGCTTTGGGAGTTGTTTTTAAGCAATCCAGTCCTTTATAGAGAAATTCTTGATGCTTACTGTTATTTTGCATAGTACAGTTGTGTTTCTGTAAGACTAAATTTTATTCAAACCAAATTCTAGCTAAGATAAACTATGTGAACATCCCAAAAACACCTTCTCTAACTGTTGTGGTTCTAGAATGGCTCTAGAAAATTTGTTTACTTAAAAACTAAACCTGTGTTTACTTTTAAATCTTTAAGCAAATCAACAAGGAAGTTGTTTTCAGCTGATCCCAAAAACGGTCACACCTCAGGTGCCAATTTTTACACCTTCAACTCGTTTGAATTTGGGAAATTTCGTTCAAAAAAGTGAACGGATCGCAAAAATTTTTGAGCATTTTCCCCAAGCAAACCTTTACCCTATTGATGTTTTTTCTCAAGGCGATGTTTTGAACAATTTCTCTCTATTTTTGGAGAAGGGGGAGTGATCAGCGCTCATCCATGTGATCACGCAAATAAAATCTCGTGTTTGGGGAAAAGGGTTTAAAGGGCTTTGAAAAATTGTTTTAAATGACTCATTTGTAAGCTATTTTTCGGCCCAGACACTATTAAAGTGTTTTAAATTTCGTTTTAAATGTTCATACAGAATACCCTACATCTATGAATTCAAATGGTTGCTCAGTATTCAATATTCTGTGTATAAAAGTGAATCCAATGTCTTTGTATCAATTCTAACACTTTATAAGAAATTGTTCTTTAAAAAAAAAGATAAGAATAAGAAATATAAGAAGCCGAAAGTTCCCGCCGCCCATACAAACTACCTCGCCTTCGGCTCAGCGGTATCGAACAAGCTCTGAAGCTATTACCAATCGATTTAGTGTAGTCGAAAACCCTAGAAAAACTTTTTGGCATTTGTCAGAGGCATTTTTAAGGCCCTGCCAACTGCGAACAAAAATAAATTGCTTGTAATTTAGTATTTTACTTTAGTTGGGCTTGTTTATCTTTCATAAAAGCAATGAATCCATAGCATTTGATCCGTAGCACAACTATGGATCAAAATTTTACTTCTGGAGAAGGTCCACTTCTTCCTCTCCTCCTCATCTCATTTTTTGTTTTCGTTTTCCCTCTTCACCTCTTTCGTTTTTCGTTTTCGTCTTTTAAAAAACGATTTTGCAAAGAATGAACCAGGAGATTGAACTCTCAACCTCACAGGGACATCTCTAATCTATCCTTCTAACTTTCTCACAGGCGAACGCTCTATCCACTGAGCTACAGCCACTTTAGTCAGCTAGAAAGAAGGAACAAGAGAGCAAGCGAAAGAGCCTCCTAAGCCCTTACCTAAGAGAATTAGTGTACCTGATTCGAACTAAAACTATGAACTAAAACTATCATAACTAAGAATCCCAATCAACTAAACAAACAAAAGAATTCACCAATTCAACTAATTCTTATAAACGACACAAATTGCCAGCCTATCCATAACTGTCTATCCACAAATATTTCTCTTCTCTTTCTTCTTTTCAATCATTTGTTCTTGTCTATTTGATTGGAGTTAATCTGTTCGAAAAAGAAATGCATGTTCTTTTCGATCATTGTTTGAAAAGAAGAAAAAAATTGCAGAGGAAATGAGGGATTCTTTTCATTTCTTTCCCCTTCAGGCAAGCTGATCATGAAAGGAGTGCACTGAAATCACTTCTCTGTTTGCCATCAGTTTCTTATTGAGCTCTGGAAGAATTTCTATTTGTGTACAACTAAAATACTATCAAGAAAATGTATCTCGATTGTGATTTTCTGTTTGTCCAAGTGTAGCTTTATAAGAGAGATCTGGCATTCGAGCTCTTTAATGATTCAGCACATCTTCTCAACCCTTGCTTGATCTACCTCTAGACAGCCAACACTTCTCCCACTCTCATCCCAGATTTGGATTGTTAATGACTTCCGTTTCTTTTGTCCCTTCAGTCATAAAGTCTTTGATGGGAATTAGCTCTTTTTTTCTGTTTCCGGCATTGTTTTCCCTTGCAGTGTTCCCGTTCACTTCTTTCCAAGCAAGTCCACATCCGGCCTTATTTCTTTACCCAAAAGGGTCATCTCAAATGATAAATTGACTTTAGTCTTTATTAGCTTTTTCTAATGAGAAAGACGAAGCGACAAAGCGCCTCAATGTCTAGCGGTGTTCCTTCCGGTGAAAAGGCTTGCAGAGAAGGCTTTAAAGGAGACGCTTTGATTGGGGATTGGATAAGCAAGACTAGATTTATTAGCTTGCTTTTTAGTGTTGTGGGCAAGGGTTGGTTTTCATCTTTTCAATGCTCTACAAGTTGCTCTTCATAGCTCTTTACTCAAGATTTTAGAATTTCCATATGTTGAAAGCCTTGTGAAGCTCTAGCCCACTTCTGTTACCAATGCAAGAACCAGATGTGTGCTGAAATAGCTTCCAAATTCAAGTTCAATTCAAGCTCACACAAACCATCGAATCTGCAACGCTTGTAGATTTCTGAGCTTTTAGCCGTACACCGCTCCATTAAGGGTCATCCCTTGTGACAAAATCGGCACAAAAGGCAGATAATTTTGTGAAAAGAACAATCGTGAACACTTTTTTTGCCGAATTAGCCCCGAAAAAGAGTAGTGGAGACACAGTGTCTAAGCGACACGAAACCACTATCATTTTTTTCTCTTTTAGCTCCATTTTTTGCACGTTTCCTCTCCGGTGAGCGGCAGCTTTTATCCACACACGCAGTCCTAATACGATCATCTCGATTTCCTAATGTGAAGTCAAGAAATCTTTTAATCTTTGCCTTCTTTTCCAAAAGCCATTTGGCAAGTCTTTGACATAGAAAAGTTATAAATGATTTGGATTCTTTGAATTCTGCGAGCATTACTACGAATACATAGCTCTTCTTGTCTAAGTAACTAATTCGTAAAACTAAAACTAAATTAGATTCTAAGTCTGTCTAAGTCTTAGTTATTTGAAGATACTGCCAGTCTGGGACTGTCAGTCTTGAAGTCTGACAGGTACTGTGCGATACTTTAAAGTCTTGCAATTAGTCTTTTGTCTTAGTACAGCAATTATTCAGTTTGAAAGCCTTTATAATCTTGAGTGAATCTTTGCACTTTCCAACTCAAACACTTACCTATTCATATTCAATCTCCACAAAGAATTCTATTTGAACAGATGCTCGAAATATTTGTGGTTTTTGTTGATCCGCCCCTTCACCTTCCAAAAAATAAATATTTGTTGAGAAAATAACAAACAAAATTGTCTTGTTATTTAAGTT